TTACCATGAGAATTATAAAATAAGATGAGAACCACTCAAAAAAATACAGAGCGGGCAAATCATCATTCTATTTTAGTTTCCATTCAGATAATTGTGTAATAGTACAACAATAACTCTATATACTGATTGCATCTTATCAAGCAGTCTTTCTATTCAATCCCATCAATATCATTTTTGTCCTGATTTCTGAGAATTTGTTTAGTTTTGTTTCCCTTTAAAACGCAGCAGTCTGCAGTGATGACATGTATACACTTAAATGTTTTGATCATGACAGCAGTTCTTCACTTTACCCCCACAAACATATTACATGAATATACAAATTGCAATGTTGTAAATACTTTAAAGACGACTCGAGTGTGTTTACCTAATGTCTGGGGATTTTGTTTGTGTAATGTACAACGATTTAAAGATGGACAAAGTGGGGAAAAAGCTGGGAATCTTTCCATTTCTGAAGATAACAAGAAAGTAGAACACTCTTCCTATCACGAGATCTCAATATTGCCTCCCTCTAGATCATTCTTACCTACTACATCTTTTCAGCTCAGTTCCACATTCAATGCAGCTTGTCAGAAACTACCCATTAACTAATTTGCCTTTCTCCGTCCGAAAGTACTTTAAAACCCCGAAAAATATCGTGTATCAACAGTAGTCTTGTCACACGATATGCTAAACTTTTAAGAACACTTTCTTTCTGAATAAAGATCATTGACATGTTCTTAAACAGTTACGGACGTGTGTAAGTGCATTGGAAGGGGCTGACGAGCTACTTAGCAGCTAAGAACGAGGACTCCTGAATAATCTTTAACGTAACATCCTCTTAAGTTGTTGACCTTCATTAAATTGGAGGTGTTACAAGGAGAGAGAGATAGATAGAGAGAGAGAGAGGGATAGAGAGAGAGAGAGGGAGAGAGAGAGAGAAAGAGAAAGAAGAGAGAGAGAGAAAAGGGAAGAGAAGAGAGAGAGAAGAAAAAAGAGAGAAGATAGAGATAGTGAGAGAGGGAGAGAGAGAGAGAGAGAGAGAGAGGGAGAGAAAGAGAAGCAGAATGCAACACATTACCAGGCACACATGAATAGTGGTCATTTTCGTACCTCAATCGAACACCGCTCCGTAAAAGCAATTTACCCCCTTTTTTCAATCCTATAAATTGAAGTAGGGGTTTATCAACACCAATAAAATTCGCGTAATTTTGACTGACACATCAAGTCAAGTATGTCAATAGGAATTTATTAATAAAGTGTGATCCTCACATATCCTGAATGGTAGACATCTTCTTAGTCTAAAAAATATCTATAGGACTTGCTTGACGTCCAGTGTTTGAAGGTTTGATAATAGCTATAGAAATGAAAGAAAAGAAAATCATTTAGTAAAGCACGGCATTCAGGGGATTTTCACCTGTCGCTTGCTTTTTTTGTATTACCTTACGATAGGAGAAAGAAACCTTGCACCTGTTTTGAATCTGGGAAAATCTGCTATTCATCAACAGAAATTAATGAAACGTGACGAGTTGATTTTTCAGCTTGATTAACAAAAATACGTAGGCTGTAGTTTGCGGGTAAATACCTGCAATATGAAAAGAGCCTGTGCCTCTTTCCGGTGGAATTATTATTGAGTTGGTACCACTAATCGGTTGTTAGCCCCTAAGAAATCAATGCAAGTAAATCACTCAATATATGACAATATAAGAAAGCGAAGCTTACTGCATGATAATACCTACTTTATCGAACTGGTCTGATAACATTAGGGACTTTTAGATTCGCACGAAGACAATAGGTCTATGCTACGATCGACGTCCTGTTAATGCACTTCCGTGAATGGACGTCACACGTAACAGTCCACGCAAATCTAAAAGTCCCTATTATAATTCAGCGCAGAGCACGCTAAAGCATCGGTAGGTTATGCCTAATGCCTAGGTCACATTTGCTCTACGGATAGGATACGGCGGCCGTAGGCCCCCGAAATCGAGAGATACGTACCTGCGGCGGCCGCAGAGGATTATAGCGCGGCGTTATAACTTTTTTCATTTCTAGTTTAGCCGTAGCAATTAGACACACCGTAGCCATGCCGTAGAGCGGTTTCACGGCAACCAAATTATGTGTCTGCCTTGCGTCTGCCTTGTTATTTGTCAAAAACCTTCGGCCGCCGCAGGGATGCCCTAAGGCGACCGTGCGCCATCACTTCAAAGGCCGTACGGCAGCCCGGGTACGGCAGCCGCAAGTTTTCTTTCTCTACAAATTCAAAATTACGCCGTGCGGCTACCCTAACACAGTGACTGCTACCGTATGTGGCCGTGGGAATGCTGCGGCGGCCCTATAATTGCTATTTGCTGTAGATATTTTAGACTCCACGGACGCGGCGGCAAATGTGACTTCGCATTATTGACGCTATTCTTTAATTGAATTGCTTTTTATCGTAGTGTGTAGGAACAAGTCGATTGATATATAACTGTTTTGAAACTGTTATATACATACACTTAGAAATATTTCCTTGATGACTGTGACTTACTTTCTTCATATCAGGGCACGATATATCTTTCCCAGTAAGAAGGACTCATGAAAAGGCGAATGACATAATAATTGTTTTCACTATCTATCTCAATGGTTAAATTCAGTTAGCTAGCATGGCTATCCAATAATTGCAGATTATATGATGTTGATATTGATGAAAAAGAATGCTATTAGGATTTGATGTTCATTATGGATAACTTAAGAATATCCACAGGGGCATCCTTGATCCTTCTACTTTCAGATTCGTTTTGGTCTCGATTGATTCCCCTAGTACAGAGAATGAGCGCATCCATGGATGAGTAGAAGGGGGACTCTCAGCCCCCCCCCCCCCATCCATAGAAGATGTGTGAGGACTGGCGAGACATTTCGTAAACATATTTCGGGAGGGATGAAAATCATGACCTAGAAATTAAATGGCAGTTTTCGAATTTCTACCTTAGGAATCCTTCCCCTTTCTGACAATCCTGGATCCGCCCCTGCAGAGGAATGGCGAAATAATTTTTAAATCGCTCTTCGCAAGCTAATTGAGTGTAAATACACTCTGCTACCCCTCACTGCCCCTAGTAACTGTACGTCAAACAACACACCACACTGTTTACGTCAAGATGAGGAAAGCCTCGAGATATCTTCACCAGCTTTCAACATGGATCACTTATGTTGCTGATGGACCAAACCAGTGGTTTGACATTTACTGAAGCAGAAACAGATCAATTTACCTTTCAAACACAAGTATGCATTCTAGCGGCGTATAGCGTGGGCTCAGTCACGGGGGGGGGGGGGGGGGGGAGTTTAAAAGTTACGCGTCACCCCAATCCAAAATTTATCAAAGAGGATTTGTTTTCCATCGTTCGTTTACATAGACGTATGGGCATATTTTCGCGTGTGGGCCTCTTGCCCGAAAATATGCTACACGGACCTCAAATATTATGCGAAAACATTTGCACTTTTATCATGGCAAAACAAATATTAAATCTTTAATAAATACAAAATTATGTTATTCGGCCATCACGTTGCCTGGAATCATCCTAATTTATCAATTTTCGGAGGAGTGAAGCGAACGAGGGCGAAAAATACTCTTCATTGTGGTATTAATTTCATTTCGATATAAAAAATACAATAAATAAGGTTATATTCGGGCGCCATGCTGCCTGAATCATGACGACATTCAGACAGCTGCCTGAATCATGACGTTATTTGGACAGCTGCCTGAAACTATTCAGTTTCTAAAATTTGCAAGCGAGCGAAGCGAGCAAGGAAAAATACAATTTACTATCTCTAGACGGATATCAAAATACCCTAATGTGATATATAATTGTGTATCTTACGGTTTCTGATACTTTTCGTCCATGAAGTAGACGTTATTAAAAAATAGGGTTTGATATAACTAAATTACTCTCGCGGCACCCCGGTTTAAAAAAGCTTTGCTAGATGGTCAAAGTTGACTGGGCCGGGAGACTAGACCTCTTGACCCTTTAGAGTGGGAACATTTTGCATTTTAAAGTGAAATGGATACAAATAGATACTCTCTCTCTCTCTCTCTTTCTTTTCCCGTATGTCTTCTTACTTTTACTCCTTTTTTTCATTTCTTTTTCTTCTCTGATGTACGGTACATCAAGGACGCAGATCGGATCATCCCAAATAATATTATTGTTGGATAAATTTGTGATGCACCTCTCACAACGTATCATATTGTCCCACGTTACTGATTCACATAATATTATAATCTTTGTAGAGCGTTTTCGAGCAATTCATCTCCTTATATTAAGTCACGTTCTTTTTCTTTTTTCTTTATCTCTCCCCTCGCTCTCACTTTTTGTTAATGCCATTTGATCGTCCCTCGTGCCCCTGTAAATATACGCCACTGCGGCATTCAACTGTTGATGTCAAATAACATACTGTGCCCTATTTTGTCCTGACCTTTCATGTTATCTTTATTATGTTTTTACGGCGGAGTAGGATTGGAGAAGCATTATGGACAACGCCATGGAAACAGTTGTCCAAAAAGCAAAGTTAAAGTCATAACAATCTGAGAGAAAGCTAGATTATTCAACAACTAAATTATTTACACCCTTACCAAGTTTTTTTCATAATTTTGTAAGTACGTGAAAGAGAAAGATTCAACAAAAGCCCTAATTCAAGCAGTCCATCTTTCATTCTCGAGTTACGAAAACACAAAAAAGACCATCGCATTTCCAAGGTTTTGAATAATTTAGTTGTTAACTATATGTCTTGAATTGATGATGGTGTGAAATGCCATTTATACGCTAGTACAAAGTTTTTTTTTTTAAATGAATATTTGAATGACTATCAATAATTCATACAACTCTTGATGCATTGCATTATTTATGGTATTTACGTGAATATTTGCCGGTTTTAAGTAATATAACTACTTCTCATGATATATATCGCATTATGTCGCACTTGCACGATTCATCAACCCTTATACAAGCTTTTACCGACTCACAAATAAACTCATTTTGTTTCCATTTCTACAGAATCGTGTCACCCTGTAACAATCAACGTCCCTTCCAAAATCCCGAAGAAGTCTTACATCTCGGCAAGGAACGACGCGGCCGCCATCTTGCAGACTATCCGAGTACAACAAGAACTTAGCAACGGTCACATGCCAGCTCAGTTCAATGGCGTCGCTGGTAGTCGTACACCCGATGATGATTCCCTGGTCGACACTCAAAGCACAAGAGACTTTTATGATACGCCGAGTTCAAGTAAATATGGACATTTTATGGACTTGAGTAGATAGATTAATTAAATAAAACCTTTTCTACCACATTTGTACACCAGTTTGCCGAGTAAATAAATGTTATACATAAATTGTTGTGATATATTTACGACATGTGAAGCAGAGATTCTATTTTACATCGTGTATAGGGAATCACAGTCAAACACATATTCATACTCGGTATGTATCTAGAATGCAAGGCCAATCCTGGATACGGAACTAACCATTTAATCACTACATGAGGTTTTGTAAATCCAATATTTACTCAGGAGCGATATGGAGATTCTTCTAATAACAATATACCACTACTCCCAAGAAACAGTCGGTTTGGAGGCGTGGTTGGGGTAAACAACTCAACATAAATGGAGCAAAAAGATTAATCTGTGTTCTAGTCGTGTCATTATATCGTGAAAGAAACCGTCTAGAAGCAAATTTGGAAAGGCTAATTTATATACATAACATTTTTGTTGCATCATGTGATGTTTAAAATCATCAAAAATCTACTCAATCTTGTTTAAAACCATATACACTGCACATAGAAATTGGTATATGGGACTACAGACACATAAGGTACGAATATTGGGTCCAAACCTTTCAGCTACTATTTTCGGGGTGCGGATATATAATAATAATAATAATAGCCTAATAGTCCACTCCAAATTTTATTAAACCGAAACGGAAATTCTTTTTGCCCAATTGATCGTGAGCCCGGCAGCCACTGAGCAGCGCCAGATCGACGTTGCTCTATCCCTTATTGTTGAACGCCAAACAAGGTAGCAACAACTCCCATCTTTTAACGTCTTTTGGTATGACGCGGCCGGGGTTCGAACCCACGACCTCCCGGTTGTGAGGCGGACGCTCTACTGACTGAGCCAACACTCCGGTACGAAGTACATCTGAAAGCGCAATCCGTTTCGAAGACATTTTTCCTTTGATATTCCTCCATGCACACGGACACAAATATAACGAGAATGCTCACAAATAATGTTGTACGTGTACCAGAAGGTTCGGAACCCATCGTACTCTTGAACCCAGTGTTGAGATTTGTCTTGCTAAGCAGCATACAGATCACGGGGTAAACAAATATGAATAAAAATAGATGTTATTGGTCAAATTGGCGAAGATAGATCAATGTACGACATGCTTTTAGGGCTGATTAGTGCAAGTAGGTTAACAAATCACTTCAGTCGGCATGGCGTGTGATCATTTACCATCCATTTCTCATATATCTTCGTCACATTAATCTTCCCGTTGCCATGGCATCCGGCATTAGTTACAGACATTGTTTGTCACACATGAAATCGAATAAGTATTTTAATGCAAACACTCTAAAAGTAAGCAAATTTAGGCCCTATTTATTTGTTATATAGATAAGATAAGATAAATAATTTGAAATATGAGGCAAACAATATTTCTTTTCATTGTTGAGGAAATGTGCATTAGTGCTCCAGTTGCTATGAGGTATGATGTTTTGATCTTTTATTCTTTTTAGATTAATATTTCTCCATTCCGAGCAGCTTTAATAAGGTATATTCAATTATTTTGATTCAATGTATACCATAACATAAAAGGGGGTAAAAAGGTATAAGGTGTAATTTATACATAAGAAGGAGATCGAGGGATGCACCTATTCAGGAACTACAAGGGGCATTCAATAAGTTAAAACAAGAAGCGCTGTCTTTACGTATTTACTAATGTTTGCCCAAATTGCGACTCTGACCAGCTCCTCTCTCTTGCGATCAAACAGGCTATCAATCACTTACCGAATAATGTTTTCTTATTTGTCATTGTTGTTGCTTTTAGAGGGACCCCTGACCGTGTAATCACACACGTCAATGCATTATTTATGTATACATCGGTTATGGATAAGGTTTCGGATATAACGTCATAGGGGGGAACAAAGGTTCGGGAATTTTTTAATTTTAAATAACGCGTTATTTTCTGAGAAGGTCTCCATAACCTCTTTCCAGACCTTGCTGCATTGTCTGTTTCCACGTCGCTCAAGTACTCTGCAAATTTGTGTGTTATGCTCGTTACAAACAGGGTGTCATTTTGATGACGTTCGAGTGCGTTAACGACCGACGCGGTCTTTGACGCGTATTTTTAAGGTGATAGCGTACAAAAAATGAATGAGAAATGAACAGTTTTAAATTGTTTTTTTTTTACATTTTGTATGGGCTAATTGCCATCACAGTCTCGATTAGTGCATTTAACAACGCAATGAAAACTACGCCTCGTTTGCTAAGGGCATTATGTACCTTGAAAGTGTTATTGTTCTAGGGTTCGACTCTTCTGATTTTCTGCACAAAGTCCATAATATTAGAAAAGGGGCTCCCGAATACTATTAATAAAAACAGTCATACTGCCTTATTTATGCGACCTTTCCCGAGAAAAACAACTATCTATATCGTACTCAGAGGCCAAGATGCATTTGACTTTCTTGGAAACTCGAGAATTTTTTTTGGTGAAGCTAAACCACTGCGAGATGTGCGAATAAAAGGTTTCTTTTTAAAGCTGCGTTCGAGAATAATAGCGAGCGAATCAGCTGAGACGAGGCGACAAACAGCCTCATTACCTTCTAGGCACAAACCGTCAGTATGTAAATCAAACACATCTCATCAAACCTCTTCCATCAATCCGTAAACAAAAAGAAGGAGATTAAAACGGGTGTTCAAAATAAAGAAATTAAGCAAATATATTATACATTCTGGGTATATTATTAGTTAATTATGATAAAAGTAACTTATGATGATGACGAAAACAATTATTTAAAGATCGTGAGAAAAAAACTGAGTTTAACCAAATGCATGCCGACAAATTGTGGAAGAAGAAGAAGTAATCAATTTTCATTTCACCAAGAGTAACACGAATGCTTAAACATTTAAGATTCAATTAACGTCATGTCTTAGTGATATACCTATACAATTTCAAATCGCCGAGTACTCCTTCCTGCTTACAATACCATGATTAATGTTCTTGATTGTAATGCAAAGCAACCAGACGATCCATATATTAAACAACATAATTATGATAGGGAATGATATTCGATCAATAAACAGAAGGGTTAGCATGTCACCCTCTGCCCCTCAACGTTGGTTATCTCGTCGAGGGAAGGAAATGATTCTGGAGGATCGTGAATGAATTGGAATGGGATGGTCGGAGGTGCATGGGTAGAGGAGAAAAGGGCTGGGTGGATTTACTCGTCTAATACCCCATTCACAGTGGTTTTGAAAATTTGTAGCGGCGTTGTAGCGGAGCGGCGACACCGCCATAACACCGCTACAAATGCATTCACAGTAGAAAAGTTATCCCGCTGCAGCAGCGGGATAAATATCATGTACCCATTCACGCTGCAGCGGGTGATTTTTATTACCTCCGTAACAAACACGTGTATGCATGGCTCATGACCCGCGAGTGACCCCGATATGACCGGAAATACTTCAGCGCGTAAACATGTCAAGTTGCTTTTTGTATCCTCGATCATATTACTTTTTAAAAAACTAGCATTTTTATTGCTTCCAGTCAGAATATTTTAATTTTTTGAAGTGTGAAATATTTTTATTTGGATAATTATAATATCTACATAATAATAAAATCAATTTGAATCCACTGGTTACTTTATTTCTATTTCACTTTATGTTCCCCATTGCTGGAGAAAAGAGGTCAGTGATAGGTAAGTAAACAAATCACACGTGTTTGTCGCGGTGTTATAGCGGAGAGCCTACACAACACCGCGACAGCAGCGGGACTGTCCCGCTGCTGTAGCTAGGCGAACCTAGCGATAGTTTGTCGCGGCGTTATCGCGAGGCGGTGTTATCCCGCGATAGTTTATAACGGGTCCGAGCCTTCACACTGAAGACAACACCGCGACAGCAGCGGGACAGTCCCGCTGCTGTCGCGGTGTTTGAGGCCACTGTGAATGGGGTATTAGTTATTTTCATACTTTTGTCAAATTCGGCTAGATTCGCCATCTAAAGCTAAAGGATCGCTTGCTAATTATGATTTCAGAATTAGAATTTAATCATGAAAACAATAATTATAAGTGTCGGCAGTTAATGTAATGATTTAATTGTATGAAATAATTTATGATGACAGCATTTTATGGTGTCCTAAATCTCCTCCCTTTGTCTTCCCTCAAGAATAAACAACGCGATGTGAAGTGCATGCAGCCTGATGCAGTGTATGTACATGAAGCCCTTTTCAAATGGCACTCTCATATTAAGGGACTGTTATTTCGACAGAAATTGTCTAACTTCTGTGAATTGAAACTATATAACTTAATATTCACCATTTTAAAAAGTTTGTAATTTATTGATATCAGTGGGTGTTCCAAGATTTTGAAGGGGATGCCGCACCAAATTCACCAAAAGTTTAACCGAAAATGTTCCACCCAGCAAATAAAAGGGTCATAAATTTGTGTAATTTGTAATGATGCACATTTTATGCGATTTGCTGACAAGTGACAGTCCATTTTAAAGAAGGTATGTGAGGTATATTCATTCAATTCTTTAGTACGTGTTATTTCATCGATGCTTAGCTTATAAGGACTATTTTTGTTTCATTTTCCTTCTTTTCTTGACTTTGTATGCCCTTACCAGCATCAGGGTCCCGTGAGGATATCACAAGGAAGAATTCAACCAGTCGAGTATTTGACCGCATTATTCAAGAGGCATCGCGTCTACCAAGTCACATCAGCCATAAAGGTAAGATTGATTCGTGTCTGTCCGGTACGGGAGGCAACCAGGATATGACAGCGACTCTCATCGCAATGTTTCATGGTGGATCCAGGTTGTTGTAATGAGGGGGAGGGGGAGGTTGCGCCAGACAGCTAAAACAAAAAAGGGCGATCGGAAGCTTGTCATTGCGAATAACCCCCTTTATCGACCTGGACGACTGCCCACTAACACACTACTCTATGGACCCCGGGACAGTTACCCTCGGAAAAGTTTCCCTGTCAACTGCCCCTTAGAACAAGCCCGCCCTTGACAATTACCCCGACTACCAACCCAGAAACAACTACCATTTTCTTATTATGTTTTTACCCCACTAATCTTAGACAATCAGCAAAAGATTTTAAATTAGGGGGAAGTCATTCTGGTGATAAATATCATAAGCGTTGTTTAGTGTTATTAGTCGAGGTGGTAGCTGTGAATGGGGTAGCTGTCCGGAATAGTTATGTTATGATAAACGATGTTTGCGATTTTCCGGGGGTAGTTGTTCTAGAGTCCAATGGGAGTATAGGCCGTGAAATAGACTAATATAAAGGGCGTGCAAAAAGAAGAGATTTGGGATAATTTGGGAGAATATAGGAGTGATGCGTAACCCCTCCTTCTTAATTCGTAACTGTTTTCAAATTATTTGAAATGGACTCTTCATTTTTTCCAACATCCTCAGCAATATCATATAAAAAATTCCGGCTCTAATTAAATCATACCCGGATTAAGCTATTAATGATCACATTGAGTGTCAACATTAAGCCATGGGGCTTTTCATCACCAAACAGGGGCCGATGCCCTGCATCTACATAATTGCACGTAACCCAAACATTTTGATGAAAGACATCCCTCGTGTCATAGGGGAGATGGGTGAGTGGTGTTGCAGACTGAACTCAATCCTAGCCGTCACATGAGAATACATAATGATGATACAATCATACCCCATTCACAGTGGTTTTGAAATTTGTAGCGGCGTTGTAGCGGAGCGGCGACACCGCCATAACACCGCTACAAATGCATTCACAGTAGAAAAGTTATCCCGCTGCAGCAGCGGGATAAATATCATGTACCCATTCACGCTGCAGCGGGTGATTTTTATTACCTCCGTAACAAACACGTGTATGCATGGCTCATGACCCGCGAGTGACCCCGATATGACCGGAAATACTTCAGCGCGGGGTTTTCGATTGCTTGAAATTGCGCGCGCTAGCTGTACTTTACACACTCTTCCTCATGTACCATGTTTATTGCTTCCAGTCAGAAAATTTTAATTTTTTGAAGTGTGAAATATTTTTATTTGGATAATTATAATATCTACATAATAATAAAATCAATTTGAATCCACTGGTTACTTTATTTCTATTTCACTTTATGTTCCCCATTGCTGGAGAAAAGAGGTCAGTGATAGGTAAGTAAACAAATCACACGTGTTTGTCGCGGTGTTATAGCGGAGAGCCTTCACACTGAGTCAACACCGCGACAGCAGCGGGACTGTCCCGCTGCTGTAGCTAGGCGAACCTAGCGATAGTTTGTCGCGGCGTTATCGCGAGGCGGTGTTATCCCGCGATAGTTTATAACGGGTCCGAGCCTTCACACTGAAGACAACACCGCGACAGCAGCGGGACAGTCCCGCTGCTGTCGCGGTGTTTGAGGCCACTGTGAATGGGGTATCATATCCTTAACATCACTCACTGCATGCTTCCCTGTGATATCCCTCTCACTCTTCATGCATGCAGATATATTTCTGATATCAATTTTCTTAGACTATACTCATTACAAGGATAACTTGGTATACTGTTTATTATGCTTATCGATATTACTCATTCCATGTTAGTAGACCTTTATACCAACAAATTTTGTCTGGATTATGCTGCTCAATCAAAATGTTAACAAAAATACCTTTTTACAGCATTATGAATAATGTCGTTGAGCGTGAACCTGAAATACTCTCCCTCGCTCGCTCCCCCCCCCCCCCCCTCTCTCTCTCTCTCTCTCTCTCTTTCTCTCCCTCTCTCTCTTTTTCTGCCCTATTTTCTTTCTCTATCTCTCAATTTCCCATATTCTCTTTCCCTCTCTATCCACCTCTCTCTCCACCTCTCTCTTTACCTCTCTCTTTCTCTTTCTTTTTCTTTCTCCCTCTCATTTATTCGTTTCTCTTTCTCCCTCTCATTTATTCTTTTCTCTCTGTACCTTTCTGTCGGTATTAATCTTTTCCTACGTTCTATATTTCCTATATCTCCTACATTCGTAGTTTGCATTCGCTTGTGTTTATCATTAATACACACATTTATAAATTGTGCTAAACACCATTTCAAACAAATGTATTATTATTACAAATAGCAAGGGTTAAAGTAATAAACCATCATTGGCGTCTCGTTGGTTATCATATATATTTAAGAAAATACTTTATCCATGTATGTAAAATCAAATAAATTCCTATTGCTTCAAGAAGAGTATACATACACTGCTATTAAGCATACGCGTCACGTTGTTATTCAACAACTGCCACAATGTTGTTGTCCTTGTTCCTGACAATCTTCTTGGAAAATCCTGACAAAACTATGTCAACGTCTGAAATAAACTATCGCTATCAGGGCCGTATATACTTAGAAACAGAGTTAACGGTCGTCTGGCCCTCAACTTACGTAAAGGCATAGAAATTACGCTGTACACATCCCCATACTGTGGAGAATAAAATAATCTTGACACCATTTCTTTCTAGCATAATCATGCTTGAGAAGGTTTGCTTGGAGAAACAAAATCATTGACGTTTCTGAAAATGCGGGAATTAAGCATGGAAATGAAACATTAGTTTATACTCATTTTCATATTTAAAGAAAATATATTTAAGAATTTGATTGGAAAAATTATGTTTTCTTTCGTTTCGAATAAGTTTACATCTTTAATGTGCATCCTTCCAAATATAGCTTTTAAAAATTACGTTAGTAAAGGAATAAGAGTGAATTAGACTTTGGGATGATGTTTCATTATAAATGCTTTATTATAAGCGTTAGTTATCAATCATCGCATCTATTGCTTTTGTGTCAATTTCATACATTTCCATAAGATCTTATTCATGAACATTAAAAACAACAGCGGGTTATTTTGCAACTTCCGTTTTTTTAGACTCGGGATATTTTCCGGAAGTTTGTAATTGCGTTTTCACCAGACCGATACGCTCATCACAAACTAGTGCAAATTAGCCCAATATTTGGGAAAAGGCGGGCTATTTTGGAAACAAGACCAAGACTTCTCGGGATATTTTCTCGACCAAATAGCCCGCTAATTGCAACTGCGGGCTGATGAAGACGCAAATTAGCTGGTTAATTTGAGATCGGGCCAGTTAAAATAGCGGGTTATTTTGCAACTTCGGTCTGATGAAAACAAGCCTAATAAAATAATGGTTGAATACTTTGATTGTTAATGGTATGATTTTTTTTTAAGGGATCTGTCTCAAACTACGAATAGAATTATTCACTTTCAGGTTTAGGTTTCTAGATCTTAGGAAGGACATGGAGGAGAAAGAACAAATCGCAAGCAAAATGTAAATAAATCTCTCGTTCAAGGTTGTCAGACGTCAGAGATTCTTTCTTGCTTTGCACCTGCGATTCGGAGGTTAACACAATTGCCCCTTTCAAACTACATGTGTTAATATACAGTCGAAGTTGTCACGCGAAAAAAATATACCGACGGCTGAGAGGGAAAGAATCGATCGATGGAGATTGTGAGCTGTTAGCAGAATTTAAAGTTCACTCATGAGCATCAACTCAGTAATTCCTTAATGGCAACGTCAAACGATGGATATAGGTAGTATATCCATGGCTAACCGAACTGAACGATTCTTAGCACAAACGTCATTTACAACAGTCGATCCAGGTAAGGTTAATGGGTTACTGGCAGGACTAATGCTAGAGCGTCATAATAATGGCAGACATGCTAAAGCCGGGGTAATGATAATGATTTCGGAGCACCAGGGCCCCGTCTCACAAAGAGTTACGATTGATCCAAATCAATCGCAAGTCCTACGATCAATCGCAAGTTTGCAGTCTCCTATCTCTTATGTACATAATATATAGTTGCGATTAATATCAACTCTTTGTAAGACAGGGCCCAGGAGTGTAAAGTCTGACATACATGGGCGCTTACAAGAACATATTATTATTGCTGTTATTATTATCATTATTATTTTATTATTAGTATTATTATTATTATCATTATTATTATTATTATCATTATTTTGATTATTACAGTTATCATCATTAGTATCATTCATTATTATTGTTATTATTGTTATCGGGTATAATTTTCTTCCGTATATGATCTGAGCTGGTATCCGTCTAGTCGGTGTGACTGGACCGCGGAAGTATAAGCTCATATAAGGATAAATTATTCATTATTGTAAGAGAAAGAATCCATAGTCGAACTGTAGAATTGCCGCCTTCATAAACAGTTTACAATGTAATTCAGCCCTCTACTTCACGCATGATAACCAATTGTATTCTTGAACTTAAATCTTACTGCGATTCCTTTCAGGAATAGGCCTACGTCAATAACACGTCGTATATCTTCAATATTTTATGTCTTTTTAACAGCATCATGATTTGTATGTGAACATGCATGCTGTAGACGAAAGTAACATCTAGATTTCTCTCATCACTTACACCAAAATACTTTTATCATGATTTATTCAGACCCTTAGAGTGGAAAGTGATTGCTATTAAATCAAACAATCATGCTCATGGCGCCGGTTTCGGTAGTCAAACGTAAATTATCGTAAACGCTGTTTACAGAATAACTGTATCATTACTATGCTTTGAACATAAACATTTCCGAAAAAGAAAATTTCTTAAAATTCACAGTGTATGAGATTTGATTTGTGAAATCAAACGATGATTTGGTAAATAAAAGCTGTCAACAACTCTAAGACTGTCTACTGTAGATATGCAGTAAAACAACAGAAAGACATATGCAAATTTGGTTTCTTTGGTAGTTCCAAACACGAGGAAAGGAGTACAACTTTATTCATGTGATGGGATGTTATGTTTGTTATAGAGAGAGAGATATCTAACAACAGAGTCTGATTATTAACGTCCGGGAACAGCCTTTCACGGAGGCCTCTGATGACTCGAATCCAGATCGGTTTACACGAGACTAGAGAGAAAAACACCAAATTTCAAACAAGATCATCTACGTTTTTGTATTTATTAAATCTCATACATGTGTGTATATATATTATATTCATATCTAATGATTTCATATCAACTTGGAATCATTGATTTTATCTTAATCACGTCTTATTGAAGAATAAGGAAGAGCAGAGATATTATATTAATGGCTCTATAAAGTTTAGCCATTCATCCGTTTTAAGCATAGTTGGGTATATTTGAATGGAAATATTTTCATCAACGTTTCCTGCGAAATTAAAGAGATAGAGTCAAACAAAATGTCACAGCTTATAATCCCTTGTTGCTCATGATTTGGACCGAGATTATTGATTGATTCCACATCTATGTTAAGTTGAATAGCGCCATAAAGGATTTCATATTATAGAGAAAGGGTCACTACATCACAGTACAACCAAGTTTAGCTCTCATACACAAATGTTCCTTATGAAGCATGCTGTATGTAGACCAATTTGGACGTGATCATCTCCGACTAACGCTCAACTTGTTTTCCAGCTCTCCTCGTTGTTAAATATTGCACTTTAATGATGAATTGTGATTGGATTAACGGTATGGATTTTGATGGATTTGGTGTCATTGCAGCCCTTAAGCCTCCTGACTGTAAGATCATCTCTCTGATTAATTTGATCAAGTTGGAAGGGGAGGAGATATTACCGACTGAAAAATTGATCCATCTTTCACGGAAGGAGCGACACAGATTCCCTCTCCTTTGACGCATTTCCAGACGGATCCACGGTATTTAGATTGGTAGGATGAAGTGCTGGATGCGGAAGGGTGGGGTTACCATGGCGACAGGTTATTGATCTCCAATTGATGATGAGAGAGCTGTAGTCACTCATTATTGCGAGATGGCATTGCTTCACCTATTATATAGATATAAATAGAATGATTATATCCATAAATATATGCATATATAAAATTAACTGAGGAGAGACACAAAACCATCAATATTTCTTTTGATCTGTATTAGTCGTGAGAAACACCAAATTTGTAACTGTCTACCAGTTTTACTCATATCATATTTCGTGCATTTTTTTAAAAAGGTTTTTGTCCCATTTTAAATCTTTATTCTTATTTGATCGGATTAAATTGATATTTGGAAACTCCTTGGAGTAAAGGAATCAAATAAGGATATTCATCATCTTTTAAACGTACTCATCCTAGATGAGTACTTTTAGGATGAAAATGGCACATAATCCCCTACTATTCAGTCGTCATGATTGTGATGGGGAAAGATGGTGAAGTAAAGAGAGAGAGAGAGGGAAGGAGGGAGGGAGGTTATGTGCGTGTGTGAGAGAGAGTTAGATAGAGAAAAGGGAGAGAGAGAGAGAAAGAGAGGGAGTCATCACTCTTTAATAATGGATAATGAGGAAAACGAGTAGGTCTACAGGTAAAGCTAGGTTCACTCAAGGGAATTCTTAGGGTCGGTTGCATGTGAGTTGAGATTTTTCTCTCTACTTCATCTTAATGATGTCATATGTGCCTCTGGCATACCCTAATCCAATCTAGTCTACGAAGCACAGCAAGATCAGATTTCAGTGAAGAACCTGTTACTTTCCACTGCTTTCTTGTCGCTATATAATAGTCTGAATGCCCTTTTAAGGAGTACGCGTGACCGCACTTTCATTTCAGTTGTTAGATTTTAATAACTCAACCCAAGAAAGAGAGAGCGTGGTTCTCCCTTGAAGTGTACAACATTGCTTTTCATCACTACTGTATACTAATGCAAGTTAAAGGTAGTCAGCAACTCATGCACACTTGTAGAAGTTAATGTGAACTTTGCCATACTGATACACATGTAGGGTAACGTGAGCCACCCATGCGACTATACAAGAGAACAGAAAGAATATGTTTATTTTCAACTAAAATCTACTGTTGGTCACACCACCAGAATATCGTAGGATTTCGTAGGACATCGTAGAGTAAAGTATTGCCAGTTTGTGGAACTTTTTGTTACCAAGTGTATCCCTTGTTCGTGATGGTATTATGAAGGTCCAAAATTTTGGAATTCATTAAGTAGTGAAATAAAAAATGCTCCATCGATTAATACTTTTAAGAAGAAAAAAAATTGAAATTGTTTTTATTACAATCATATACACCTCATTGAATTATATGTCGTTATTGCTTTTGTTTAATACAAGATCATTCTCCACTCGCTGACTCAAAATGTAATTTGATATATAATATTGTGCCTTCTCATGCTTATTTCCTTTCTAACGCGCATTTCTCTATCCTTATCTTCTTCTCTACCCCACATGCAGCTCATCATTTTGTATTATTTTCTATACCCCCGATCTCTCACTTCTTTTTGTCGTTGTCTACTCTCTATATTATGACCGTGTTCTTCTATCTTTGTCGTGTAAGCATTGTCTTGTCCCTTTCCCGTCTCTGTTGGCATCCCCCTTTTTCTTTCCCCTATTTTGTAGTTCCTTTTGTAGTGACAGATTAGTTAATTTAATTTCTCATTATTCTTAAGTATCGTTTGAGGTGTTCACACTTGTACAAGCATTGCTTTTTAGTGGACCCCTCTGTTTCAAACGTGTATTTCCTTCATTTGTTTTAAATGCTTATAATTGATTTGTAATGTTTAGTTGGAAACATGAATAAATTTGAAATTTGAAATTTGATGTGCCAAAAAACACAAGACCTATTTAGGAAATGTTGCGATATAATACACTGCATGCATGTCACAGCTTCAGAGCTTCAGCGCACGTTATCGTGTTTGTGATTGTGGAAAGGGTTTGTGGCCAGATTTTCAGCAGTATGCCGACTCGAGATTTTTGGTAAAACATTTTGTTGACCATGCGTAGTTGGTGACGAAGAGATAACGCATGCTCACCATTTATTCACGAAACAAATATTTTCAAAAGACGCTGTTACGGATTGTGTCTATCATTTCTCAAATGTCATCAACAAAATAATCAAGCTGCCGCTAAAAATTACGACCTATTCGAAGAGCTAGACTGTCTTCAAATTACAGGAAAGGTTCATGATCAATTTCATTTCTTTTTATAGGATCGTGGGCGAGCTTTCTTCACGATCCGAAACAATCATTGCTTTTACCAAGCAGTCTCACCGCAAAATGGCGAGACCGCTTACCTGTTGTACTTCAGAAGTCTTAGGTAGTCTCTAGCTACGGGTTTTTATGGTTTCATCGATATTTCATCATGACTGTCTAGAAGGAATCAGATTGGAGAAAGCACAATGTATAGTCTTCTATTCTATACTCATAATTCATATTATTATTAGTGGAATGGCAATGAATTAAGAGCAATTCGAATTTCTTCATAGAAGGCATGAGATGAATAAGATGAATATCTTCATGTTTCTATACATTACTAAAATAAGATTATTTGTAAACGAATTTCTTGTACAATAATGAATATAGAGATCTCAGGAGAATAATTGAACATTAACATTAGAGAATCCTTGATCCTGTATTCATGTACTACATTTTAATAAGCATCATAAAACATCATACAATCATCATTTAGCCTTATTATTCATCATCGAAGCGGAATACATATCAGTGTTATTGACGAATTTTGCGTATAATGTAGTAGATGTTGAAAAATGGGTAAATCCAAGACGATTCTCTTATCCCATCTCTATGCATAGTTTTCATCTTACATCCATGTAGCTTCAATGACATTATCTTATGGAAATCTCAGAGATGAAAAGTGCCTAAAGTGGGAGCAGTAAGTGTCACAATCGATACGATTTAAACAAGTTTTGTTGTTGTTGTATTTTCCTTACAGTATCTAAGAAGATATCCGCTCCGGAAATGCAAGATATCCCAGAAGGCCTTGCTCCTCCTGCTTCAAATGGACATGGGCACGTTAAGAGGACGTTCCGATGGAAAACAAAGGTAAGTTGATACCTCAGCCACATCGCCAAACCATCTACAAACCCCCAACCTACAGATTCTTGGCCAATTTTAAGAGTTTTTTTTTTTTTTTTTTTTTGGGGGGGGGGGGGGGGTCTATCGTTGGTCTGATATCAGTATTTTTGGTGTGACCTGGTTTTAAATTAATCATGCAGATTTAGGGATGTTGCTGGAGACTTGTCACACCCTCTCAGACAGAACTGATGTAGTTAAATCTGTAGGGGATGTTTTTATGCTAGGCCCCATTTTTTTATTTTTGGTAGACAAATTTTTACTTGATGTCAAAAACTTTTTTTCGATGCCACTCATAAAACAGTAACGCCACTATAAAATATTTGCATGAAAAACTACTTTTCAAGTTAATTTGTCGTTCATAAGTACTTGCTGTTGCCTGTAAGTAGAATGTTAAAATTATCAAATGATGTCATGAACAACGGAAGAATTTGATCGGTATTCGGTTAATAAAATTTGGAGTGGACTTTAAAAAGATTATTATTATTATTATTATGTTGAAAATAAAGTTGATAAAGATATTAAGCCTAAGTGAGCTTTTTCACCTTAAAAGAAGAAGATGCAGTACACAATTTTTCATAGAAACTTTCGTTCCTGCTGCCCCTTCATGTCTTGAGTATAATTTTGTTGATTTTAGATAAATTGGAAGTCTCTTCTGTAAAATAGTTTTAAAAAACTAGTACTTCAGAGGTCACCAAAATTAGGAAGGGAAAAAGAAGAAGACGAAGAAGGAGGAGAAGAAGAAGAATAAAAAGAAGGAGGGAGAGGAGAGGGAGCAAAAGAAAAAGAAGGAGGAGACAAACAAAAATAGACAAAGGAGACGGAATGGAAGAGAAACAGGAAGAAAAAAAGATTTGCACATCAAAATCTGCATGACACAAGAAGCATACAATGAATTATTCTCTACACTGCATTCGTGGAGGAGAATCCTTGCCTTTAATCGAAAACAAATACCCCTGGTGCAAAGAAAATGTAGATTTCTAGTGCGTAGGAAGCAAATATTCATTCTTAAATTTTGAAAAAAGAAAAGTACGATTATCAAAATGAAGCAATCAAAGTGGAAAGCGCAACGGCAAAGTGATATTTTTTGGCAAATGTCACACGTTTGCCCATGGGGATCGTATGTCTTTTCGCCATACTTAATTTCACATGGAAGACCTGTTTCCTCTTTCCCCTTCAATGTTATTTGATTTCTATCAAACGTTCATTATGTCCTACTAACAAAACACATGTCTGCACGATCTTGCTTTGGGCAGATATTTTTTCAATTAGATGAACCGATATCATTTTCTTACGTCAAGGAGGAGTATCATTGTGATTATGTGAAAAATACGTCTGCTTTTTGTCCAAGTTTAAGAGAGAAAGAGACAAAGAAAGAGTGAAAGATATATATATATATATAGAGAGAGAGAGAGAGAGAGAGAGAGAGAGAGAACGAGAGAGAGAGAGTGAGAGAGAGAGAGGGAGAAAGAGAGAGAGAGAGAGAGTGAGAGAGAGAGAGGGAGAGAGAGATAAGGTGTGGTATAGAAAAACATGAATAAAATATTATTTGGGAAAGACAATGTCAAACATAAAGAAATATGGCAGGAATTGTAGACGGGGTCTAAAAATACGATCAGTTTATTTGTGATGCATCTCGGCAGTTGTAGAAATAAGGAATCAGAAATCAACTAAAACAGATAACCCTCCTTTGCTGTGACACAATACACACAGCTGTTTGATACTCTCTCCCATCATACTGGACCGTATTCCCGACTGCATTGCAATCTTGAGTAAGTCCATACTTAACCGAGAAGAGAAGGGTGAAAATGAAAGATCAAAAAGCCCCCTCCAAAACCGTCACTTTTAAAAGCTTTTCACTGTAAATCCCGTGGCATTAGCCACGCAATTAAGCAGAGTAGGGATCGGAGGCAATGTAATGTGATTGAGATTTAAGGTGGAGAACGGGAGATCCCGCGTGGGTACATCTTTCAGCGAATCCCACTTCGACAGGCGTCTTAAATCACAATTTCACCCAACAAATACAATGTGAAAAACTGCAGCGTGGACGACTAAATATTGACTATTCTTTACAAACCTCAAGCCGGATGAGTCTATGGATTCAAATAGAGAATTTTCCTCGTATATATATATTTTTTTTAACCCACTGAAATTGATATCAGTCAGTGCTTGCAGCATCAATTTTGCTACATCTTTGGATCTTTATCGTCAGTTTTAACGTGTGATTCTCAAATTTGTTTTGAAGGGTTTATGTCTGGTAAAACAAAAGTATATAGAGAGAAGAAAGTATTATCAGTATAAGATCGATTGCCTTGGGTATTTGTGTGTGTGGGTGGGTGTGTGTGTGTGTTTGTGTATGTAGGTTCGGTCGGGAGAAAGGTGATTGAATTCTTTTGGGATTGTTCCTTGGGTATAAATTACATGATGAAGACTCCTATTTTGATATCTTTCGTCTTTTATTTTTCATCTACTTGAAGCAACTTTAATTTGGAAAATTCTTTGAACGCTCGACGATGAACAGAAAACAGCATGATTGTCACATCCTAAGGGGCACACCAAGACATATAAAGAAAGAAAATATATAATAAAAGAAAAAAAAATTAATAAAGAAAGGGGGAAACAGAAAGAGAGAAAATCAGAAGATTAGAACATCAGACAGTCATCCTCCCTTTATTCATGTTTCCGGGAGGAGTGCTATATATGGAAATAGTCATGAAAAGACCGTCTCGAGAGAGGCGTGAAAGTACCCAAATAAGACTTCGAATCCCTTTCGCGACCATGTTTACTGCTGATGCTCACATTGGAACATTGCTTGCGGTATGGTTCGATGAAAAAAGGGGGGAATAAATTATTTGTTTTGTACGAGGAGAAGAAGGATGGAGTAAAATAGACTGGGGAAAATATATTCTATGAATGATAACAAAGATTGGTATAACCAGAATAGGCTGTCGTCTGAAGAAAATTCCTACAAAATCAGACGAGACGGGTTTCGAACAGGAGACCTTACTCGAAATATACGGCGAAAGAAGCGGAGTTTCTGTGTGTTTTAGGGTATATGGATTGTTGGCATCCCTGGTTATGACTAAAATGTCGATATTATATTATATTTTGAAATACAACTTCATCTCCTCGGACAAGAATCTAGGTCGCACTATTTTGTATATGAATGGGAGGGGGCGGGGCTAATGGCGTTCTGTGTATATGCGTAGCTGTATTTAAAATAAAATCAGCAGATCTCTATTTTAAAATGTTTAACATCGATACTTTTCACGCTCATTTTCATGTGCGCTGGGCATGGCTTGGGGTGAAGCTAGGAAGGATATGGTGATCATATGAGTAGGGTACTGATCGATAATGAAATGACCAAGTCAATGACGTAGATAGTGCAGATCACTTGAGTTATTTGGTGTCAGGCAGGTGTCGTTTGTTTCATTCGATTCAACATGAGGGAATTGTGCTCGTAGGCATATCCTTATTACAAAGTGACATGTTGTCTCTCTGTAAAATAAATTTAAGCCAAATAGTTTTTAATAATACATTTCTTAAAACAAATTGAATTTTTCTAGTGTGCCGAAACGTTGGGGCATAGGCTTGATGGGCAATCATGAGATTGGATTTTTTTTTAGCGCTCATATCCTCCACGCAAATATAATTTATTAATGTATCAAAATAGCACAAGACAGATGTGACAAAAATATGATGACGTTCAAAGTCATCCAAACAGAGTATAAGTCACTTAATTGTACTTTTTCGAGTTCGTTTTGATAGAGGTCAGTGGATATTTTGATGACTTGATGTAATACCTGTCATCACCTGAACAAGATGACTCCTTCTCACGACTGCGAACTGGCATGTGAACCATCAAATATAATCAATCACAAAGCATGTTGTTTGTTTGTTTGTTTATTTATGATGAAGAGAGCTGTCAGTGTACCCACTCGACCCAAGCTGGTAGCTTCACCAGGAGGCCAGCAGTCTCCCATTTCCCTGTCGTCAGAGAGTGCAAGAAATCGTTCGGCTTCCGCAGATAATCTATTAAAACCAGGTAATCTTTGGATTCTCTCGGATCGGTCTCAGTCTCATTGTAAACAAGATCAAGTAATAACAGAATGACAAAATGCACTTAAAAATGAAATGAGATATCGTTAACTTCATATCAGCTTCCTTGTTAAAAAAATGCCGAGAGAGAGATAGATAGACAAAGAAGTGGGATTTATTGAATTTTTCAGTAATACGTATAGCCATTATTATTGTTATAATTATTGTTGTTATTATTATTATCGTTTTTATTACTATCATAATGAATACTATCATTGTTATTCTTGATTATTATCATTAAGTATATGGCATCACATGTCATGCTACTTAGCAAAATGTAACTATATACATGTAAATTATGTACAAGATATATGATATTTTCTTACCTTTATCAAAGTTTGTCAGAAAGGCTAGCGGCTAAATCGTATTTTACCATGAAACTCGAATCCTTTTGACGTATTTCTTCCGCTGATGATGTGAGTACTCCTTCATCTGATCTTTTCAAGATCTGAATAACAAGATCATATTTCAAATAGCCAACGCAATATATCAGAAAAAGGTGGGGAAATAGGAAAATTAGCCCAGAAATCCAATACTATTTTTATGATGATTGTGAGTTATCATGTAGTCAGACTTTTGTGGTATTCAAGAAACAAATATTATCAGTGACAGGTCATTCAAAACAAAAAACAAAAAAAGAGCCAACATTTTGAAACTTTTGAACAGACCCCACAGCGTGTAGTAACATAATGATCTGATGTATCTTGAAAATATTTATGTTTTTAAAAAACCGTTTCGGTGTAAAACAGCCTTTTGATTGATATAAAAAAAATTGATGAAATCTTCACTTCAATCTCATCAAATAATGTTTATAACATATATTTACAGAACCTATTGGAACGCTTCATATACAACTATGTCATAGAACTCAAGATGAGCAACTCATAGTTACTATTTGCAGGGTAAGTATTCATAAAAATTCATCACCGTTAACTCGTCTAATAATCATGTTAAAATCATGCTATCGTAACAATATTGAAACGATGTTTTGTATGATAATTGATTGCTGCAGTAGAAGTGGAGTTCGTGATACTAAATTTATTCATGAATACAAAAATAAGAAGAATAGGATGTAAAAACCTAAATAAAACCTTAAGGCCGATTTATATGCAAAGATCATGCTCGTTTTTCCTTCATATCTACACCAATGAGAGTTAATGAACCTTAAAATAGTCAATATCAAGACTAAATGGAATTTTGAATACTCGATTGGGGCGGCGGGGGTAGGTTGTTTGTCCCCGACGGGATTATTTTCATATTTTTCATGTCAAGGGAGAGGGGGGGGGGGGGGGCGGCTATATACAAGAATCAAGTTGAGATGCCATTTTATTATATGTTCCCGATCCTTATTTCCCCACGATCCAATTTCGTATACTCTGTCATTTAAGCGAGTTAAAGCTGCACAATCTAACTCGCAGATAAAATACCCTACATTGATTGTAGAAGTGTTTTCTATTTTGTTCCAATACGGGTTACCGCTTTATTGCAATGCCATTGCACTATTGCATTAAATGTCTCAAAACTGCTGTGTAAATGAAAGTGGGTTCAACAAGAATTGGGCTTTGAGATCTGTATCCGTTCGGTTTCCATGGTATTTCGTGATTGATGAATTCGAATAGGAAGTACAAAGATATCTGATCTGTTTCCCGTTTCCTTCCTCCATATTCATAACAATATACCCTGTGAGCTCTCTGAAACTCAAACCGAAGTGGTCCATCTCTTTTTGGCTCAGTTGCAAAAAAAAATAGAATAAAAACTTGTCCTATGTGGCTCTAATGGGAGCATTATGCATGCACCAGATGGTGGTTTAAATGATAAAAATAGCAATTATTAATCTTCTTGTTGTTGTGGGTTTAAAAGAAGAAGGTTATGCCGTTCTACTCTTTGTGAATGTTTTTTTAATTTTAATAAACGGTGCTTATTTCAACATTTCAATTTGTCTTTAAATATCATTCAGCAACAAAGAAATTTCCAATCATGTTTTTACCAATATTCGAAAAGAGAAGACAAAACCCATAAACAAACTATCTAACAAACCAACAAACCAGATGAGATTCGTGTACAAATTAATATATAACTTCTGTGATATGAGCTCGTATTTTAAAATCCACCCATGCTCCTCCACAGACACACCGAGTCGTGTGTAGTACTGACTTACAAGGTGACCTTGACATTATCAATTAGAGAATAAATGATCATGAAATGTAATTGAGTTTGAGGTGGGCGTTTTTAGAGGCTAGAGCAAAGAACGTCCCAAGAATGTTATTTAAAAGGGGACCGAAGGACATTCATAGAGAGGAAGAAATAAACCAATTCATAAAAGGATAGTATATATACGACGGATTATCGGATAATGCGTATAACATCAGTAAATTTATGATATCATGAAAATAGTATAAAATGAAGAAAATTAAATATATTGAGAAGTTAAGGATAATGGGCATTGAATCATAGAGATCAATAAAAAATAAAGTAAGCGTTCTTTAAGTTGAAGACGAAGGTGAGATTGCTTAAACCTTTTTTATTCCTTTAAAATTGACGTTGCAGGCAGAGGAACTAGAAATCACCGATAAGCCTTATGCATCAGAGCCTTGTGTTAATCCATACGTCTATATTCGAGGTTGCATTTTACCAGGACAGAGGAAAAGATTCAAATCGAAGAATGCGCAACAATTACGGGTAAGTTTGACCTTATTCAAACAGTCATAACCAAGTTTGTCGTTCTTCTGTCTGTACATGACATACCCTTAGTTTATTGTTATGATCTCAAATAATGCGTACACTGTTTTAACTGCGCTCTCTTGTAGGCGGCAAAACATGTACTTAGATTACTGACACAATCTCGTATGAATGCATGTATATGTTGTTACACATTTCTGTATAGCAAAGTGATTAGCTCTTACCTAATAAAAACATGTTGTTGGGTTTATTATAACAAAAACAAATGTATTTCCTATGTTAATTACTAATGCAACAAAAAACCCAATCTATTATCTGAAATATGTACGCCATGGGAATGATGTATCATAACAAAATCGTGAAACTTTATATTTCAATTTGGGGGCTACCTTGACATTCTCGTGTTTCATATACTTAGTCAATCTATGCCATACTCACAATCACATTATGAACACACAAACACCCTCCACACACGCGCGCCCTTCCACCCGACCACCCACACCCACCCACATACGCTTTCTATAGCATAACTTTACGAGATCCATTTGCGCTTTTACGTAGCTTCTGGGTGGCGCCCCGTTCCTTTGAAGTTATGTAACCAGAGAAGCATCAATGGCGCTTTTAAAAGGAGGCGCCAAAGTGCCCCGAGTACGACAAAGACGTTTGGAGAGAAAGTTCTTCGCCTTGTGGGTCTTTAATCAATTTACTTCCAGAAGATTCATCTCGTTTACTTTGCTTTTCTTTTTGTAATAATAATAATAAAAAGATATTCCGCTTTATAGCGCTTAAAATATTAATGTCTCTAAGCGCTTTACAGATATACTATTTTGTAGTTATTAATTAAGATGGTCCTTTTATAGACATTAATAATAATACTACTAATTGTCTCGTTGGTTAATGCACATTTTGTAGTTATTAATTTAGATGGTCCTTTTATAGACATTCATAATAATACTACTAATTGTCTCGTTGGTTAATGCACATACAAATTATTGAGCCTGTTAGAGCGTGTTATTATTTTACAATCATTAGAAGAAATATTGCCCCATCCGCACCGTCAAAGATAAAAATAAGAAAGAGGAGGCAATGAAAGGAGGAAAGAACAAACCTCACCATCTTCTTCGGAAACAAAATAGTTTCATAACTTTCCCTCATATTACTTTGTGTATAATAACGATCAAATTGGCGATGAAAATGATCTAAATTCGCAACAAAATACTGTGGTCTTTTTCTCGTAACGCGCATTTACATTGTGCCAGAAGAACTAATTTGAGCTTTTTTAAAATAGGGAATCTAGTCTGCTATTAGACCGAAATCATCACCTTTAATAGCCATTATAAATATAAAAGAAGAAGAAGAAGAAGAAGAAGAAGAAGAAGAAGAAGAAGAAGAAGACGACGAAACAACTTAATGGCGAAAATCAGTAGCATAATATCTGTCGGCTAAAGAGGGCCGGGAGAATATAATTAAGACATTGTGACGCGAGATTTTTCTTTATTAATGGGAGAGACTTGATAATCCTTTTTAAATTTAAGGGAAAACTAAATTATCCCTTCCGTCGTATTTCCAGGGGTACGTTTGTCCCCTTCTCAAGAGAGTGTTATCATTTCTCGAACAGGGTGTTGTGGCTTCTCTGGGTAAATATTTAGATGACATTTTGGTTGTGGACTGTTGGCCGAATGCAATCTTAATTTTAAACCGTCATGGCAAGCAAACTCACTGCCTTCCTCTCTGTTCTCGCCCGAAGTCATTTTCTTTGCTATTGTACGATTGTACAGTAACATGGTGAATCACTGAGAGGTTCTCTACAACATTTATACAACAGAAACAAAAAATAACCCAGAGTTTTTAAGACAGCCGGACCAAAAGGATTAAAGGGTAAATGAACCTTTATTTTTCAATTGAAGCAATGATTATAACTTGTTTCACTGTACGAATACCTGCAACCTGAGAAACAGAGGAGGGGTGCATAATCCCTTCTAAACCCTTCTAAAAAGTCCTTCGGGGAGCTTGTTACCGTAAAGCATTTAATAATGAAGAACGTGATCGTAATGAATTGAACATATTGAAACATCATTTTCATGGGAGGATGGCGTATAATAGATAATGTTAAAGATATGATGACAGATTGCGACAACGATAGAATTAAATGAGTTATACGTGACAATATCACTCTCTCGATAAATTTTTTCCTGCCAGTAGTTATACAGGGAAAACCAAATATATATCACAATCTGCAATTATTCTGGTCACGTTTGATATTTCAGACTCTCAAAAATTACTGTAATGATGGCGGCTTTTGAAATCTCAGAAGATGACACCAGGGCGCATTTAATCTTGTTTTTCGGTGGCCATAATGGGATATGCCGCTCATGAAGGTTTGTGACGCTTGAGACGGGTTGTAATCATCGCTAAAAAGAGACTCTGATCACGGTGTCTGGTGGGTAATAGCTTTCAAATCGTAAACACATAGCAAGGGTGGAAACATGTGGGTGGCGTATATGTATACGAGTACACAGAGAGAGAGAGAGAGAGAGAGAGAGAGAGAGAGAGAGAGAGAGAGCGAGAGAGAGAGAGAGAGAGAGAGAGAGAGAGAGAGAGAGAATTAACAGAGAAATATCGACAATTACGGAGGGAGTCGGATAGAGCAAGGAGCTTATTCATGAATCCGAAATCCTAACTCCTTGGAAAGAGAGAGAGAGAGAGAGAGAGAGAGAGAGAGAGAGATGAATGCGACATCCAAGATGCAACTTTATTACTTTAATTTTGTGAGTATTATTATAACAAAAGACTGTCTCGTATGGCCAAATGGTGACCAGCGGAAAGGTAAACAGTTTTTTTTTTAGACAGTGGGTAGATAAGAGTCCCCTTACAATATGAGCCTATGCTGGTCTCATTTTGGCATAACACTGGAAGACGAACAGCCAGATTATCGTCTTTAGATGGATAAATAAACTAGTGGAAATGTGATATGCGGCAATCAAAAACCAAGCCATAACATAATATATTTGAATGAATATTACTTTTGTTCCCTTCTGTTTTAGAATCCCGTCTGGAATGAAGAATTCATACTTCAAGACATCTCATTTTCCGCTGTATGGCAGATGACGTTGCGCTTCTCCGTGGTCTACCGTGCTGGTCCTGGTAGCCGTCCAGTCATGACCGGCTTCTGTAGTCTACCGCTCCGGGACCTGGAACTCCATCAGCCTGTAGATCGAACGCTCTACGTAATACAGTCCAGTAGTCAAGCGGTAGGTCGAAGAAAATAAAATAATCATGGGAATGATCTTGTTTTTAGGATATCGTCGTAATTCATAGAGGATTCGATTACATTAAGAAGGGAGTTTTTCAACTGCAGAAATATAATTGAAATTTTGTATTAAAAAAGGGGGAAACCTGAAAAACATAGACAACAATGAAGCATGTAGCAAAAGAATGAAAATTAAATGGATAAAATTATATAGATGACAATTTGTCAGTTTTTCAACTGGGAGTGATAAACATAGGTGAAATAGTTGATAATAAGTTTATTTAGGCATCATACTTACGAAATTAGTTCTTGCTATTCAGAACGAGTTGTCACTATTGAGGAGCAGGGGAAGATAGCGCATCAAGAACATGGATAAGTTTATTGGGCGGACTGGTAAACAGAAGTAGCGTCACATTATACAAAAAAAAAAAGAGAAAGATGAAAAGCCTAGATCGCCAATGTCTGGAACAGACAAGGCATCCAGGAAATAATCAAGCGAGTAAAATCAATGTTGTATTGTTGGAAATGACGATTAGATATTTATCTGCTGTTATCTAAAGAAGATGTGAACTATTATTTAATCAAACTCTATACTTCGGAGTTTCGTGGCTGAATGGTTTAAGGCGCTTGATTGGAGATGCGAATGTCGAGGGTTCGAATCCCGACACGGCACTAATATTCTTTGGCAATAATTATTAACCTGCTCTTGCTACTCTCCACCCAGGTGTTAAATGGGTACCCGGTACGATGCGACCGTCATTGTTGGTCAAACAGTTTTTGAGCGTCAAGTAACGCCTGGCCGGAATTCTCTCCAGGGTGTGCAAAAAATAATAACCAACAATAATATTATTATTACATGTACAGTGATATTAAGCTGGATTTTTCAACGTCATGGTACCCCCCCCCGGGGGGGGGGGGGGTAGGCCTACTCAGATTAGGTTTGGACGGTGGTGTGCGGCTGAAGCTTCTAGACCCATACCCATTTTGTAAGGGTCATTTTGGCAGAAAATGGTATCTATTAATAGGGACTTCCATTCAAAACGCAACCCATTTTTTAGGTGTTGCCGTTTTCTATTTGCATGAATTATGTTTTGCGTACCCTTTTATGAATTAGTCAGAAGCAGAGCTCAAATGAATGATATTGATAAATCTGTGTGACCATCAGCGAACACTTTGGATGAAAAAGCGAAATTATTTTTGGAATTTCACTTTAGCGAGATTATTGGTGAAATATTATCCTGAAGAATATAGTAACCCATGTTTAAGGCCAAGATTTGAAAAGTGGGGGCACCTCTAGGGATATTGCAGCACAAAATCATACTTCATGTTTAGGGATTTTTGCAAAAAAGTAAGAGCGGCACATCTCCGTATACCGAATTAGGCGAGTATCCCCCCCCCCCCCGGGCATGGTACTTAATAATGCTCTATTCTAGTAATTTTGTAACTTTTATATTCTTGATTTTGATATTCATGATTACAAAACATAGGACATGCCCAACGATATTTTATTAAAAATAGCAGTTTTATCTCAAATATAGTGAGATATGACGATTTTCAATCCCTTTATTGGCTCCTTTCAGTGATTTCTGTGATTCAATATTACCCTTTATTTTCCCCTCACTTAAATCGGGGTTGTTAAATCTGTGTTTCTCTGATTATTCCCACATGACCAGTCTCCAATGGGCGACATCCACCTGTCCGTGTGCTACCAGCCCGACTCTTACCGCATCGTGTTCCTTGTTTATGGGGCTCGAGATCTACCACGGAGCACCATCATCGGAACATTACGTGAGTGCGTTGCCTAGCAACTGTGTCATTTATGGTGAACATCTATCAGAATGCAATTCGTCTGAACCAACATGTTTTTTGTCTTTTTCAACGCAGGGTTCGATAGATTTAGGTTACAATCCTCCATTAATGGATCACTTTGCCACCAGCCTCACCTAGATGCCATTGATTTGAAAGCAGTAAACACGTGTACCATTCTCGATGTACAAAATTGAGATTGCTCTTGTAGAATCGACATGCAATAACCCTCCTTTTGCAAAAAATAAATAGATAGCCCTAACCAAAAATAAGTTACGTAAATCCGTGGTATATTAATCCATATTTTTATTTAAACGCTTAAAACGTCATTTATTTTGAAGTAGCAAAAAGAGACAAAATATCTTCCAAATGAATGGTACAAATAAGAATTAAACCAAATACGTTTTAATCAGACAGTTGCGATAAATACTTGTTATAATGGAAAGAGCAAGATAATAATGGTATAGTAATAATAAGAACAGTACACCTTTACCAGATGACAATGAATCTCTACAGCAGACTCTATGATTCTCCTTTAAAAGTGCACAATACATCTGTTGTAAATATTTTTCTTCTTTCGCCCCCCCCCCCCCGATAATTCAAATTATTATTTTCATTCTGTACCTCCATCACCGCAGATTCCTGTACGCGCATTGAGATGCTGTATAACGACTGGCGAGTCTCGAAGCAGAAGACTCATCTGGTTCGAGAGACGCACGATCCTTCGTGGAACGACCAGCTTGTCTTTACTCTCCCCGAGGGTAATAGTCGACTCCAGGGGGTCACGTTTGTTGTCTCACTCGTCCATAGAGATGTCGTCAAGGGGGGTCACGTCGTAGGCAGGGTAAGCAGACTCGTTATCCATATATGGTCTTGATTCGTGGAGCAAGAAGAAAGAGTAGGAAGGAACTCAACTATATTATTACAAACAGATTGCATTTACAGTTCTTTTGTGAAAGTGAGAGCGGTGCATGGTTGATTATTTCATCAATTTCTCCTTTATTTAATTCAAAGAGAGTATTCATCAGTATGGGGATATCGCAAATTACCGAATGAATATTTCTTTCAAACGGTGGAAAAGTTAAATGTAAAGAGGAGATTTCTTAAATGATACAATTTAACATATTTTGTGCCTTCCAATGCTTTATCGCATGAACAGTTCTATCACTTTCATTTTACCCCAACAAGTCACATTAACAATGTGTGACATGGTTTCAACATCTCTCTCTCTCTCTCTCTCTCTCAACCTGTCTCTCGTTCTCTCTGCTTCTTTCCATCTCTTCCGTCCTTCATCACTCCCCCTCTCTCTCTTTTCGTCCGTCCCCTCTCCCCCCCACCCCCCATCTGTCTCACTATTTCTCTCTCCTCTTACCCTCTCTCTATATCCCTCTTTCTTTATCATTTATTTATCTCTCCATTTTCACTTTCTTCGTTGTGCAGGTTGAACTTGGCTGGTCATCTACATGTGAAGAGCTCGAGCACTGGGTAGACATCATGAACAACCCTAACCGACCAATAGCTTCATGGTTAGCATTACAGAGTCCTGACTGAACAACTTGCCTAAAGACCGGGCTTAAAGACATCACATGTATGTTGAAGCACTTCCGAAACACAAAGCGTTGCTTTTTTATAACCGCTCTCCAGATTGAAGGCTAACTCTGTTGTGGACATTTTTTATTTCCGGTGAGGGGGATGCTAGACATTCTGGAGATTCATAATTCTGAGCACTCATATTTACTATACAAGAGGGTTATTACTCCTCAAATGAAACAAGAATCTTTTTCATTTGATGCCTAATTCCAAAGGGTCGTTTATTCATATGTTCATGTAAGGAATATGTAGCAGGGTTTAATGATCCGAAGATGAAATAGGATTGTGGTTCCGGAAAAAAGGGGTTTATTATTCCGAGAATAAAAAAGAAAAATGGAAATAAAGAAATAACAGACCCAATTTTGCCTTGAATTGAATATACATATATATATATATAGGTTAATTACATGGTAATTATAAATATCCTTCATATTTCCAAAAATAGTTCATCATTCCATATCATTTCAATGTTTTATGATTTCATGATTACGAGAAAAGAAAAGAAATCACTTTAGGAATTAAGAACCTTACTAAAGTAATGGAAAGCCGTTAGCATCTATGACAATGTTTTATAAAAGTTATTTTAAAAGGCATAAAATGTTGTTTTAAATAATTCGTATTTTCTATTATCAAGGAGATTTTATGTTCTTGATGTGGAATTTATAAAAAGTCTAAAACACTTGAATTTTCACTTTTTAATTTATTTTATTTCAAGGCTACAAATGGCTCTCCATAATTTTTAAGTCCAACTTAGAATCTTTGAGGAACACCCCCCTGGTCTGATTTCAGAATCAATTGTTTGAAGAAAAAAAAATCGCTATATAGGACATTTTTTATGTTTGAAACATATAAATGGCGCCATACAAGTGCTGTGGATCATCATCATCATCTTTATGAGTTTACGACTGTCATTACAAAATTGTCCATATTTGATAAGGTCAAATGCTGGACTCGAAAATAATTTACTAAAATTCCTCTTCCCCCCCCCCAAGTACAATTTTTACTTGACTTGTATTTCCCCCATTATTTCTCGTTTTGATTTAAATTGTTGCCTTATGGAACACACAGTAGCATGTTTTGAAATATTCAAGCAATTATTGAACCACAATGCTACTTTCCTTGGAGACGTTTAGTCTCAACTAAAAAGAAAACTGGAAATAAAGAGATGCCAGACAAAGTATGCTAATCGATCGAAAGGGACCACAAATCATTGAAAATCAATTTCAACTTAATGTGTACGTAATGAGAATATGAGATGTATATATGAAAATAAAAGTATATGTGTGTATTACCAACTCGGTGTCCATATTCTTCAATATTGTTACTTGAGACTTGGGAAGGCAGGGGGGGGGGGGGTTAACGACAGGATCAAGTGGACTCTTTGACAATAACATTGCCTAAAAAAACAGGGATTACATTTTTACGTACTGTCAAACGAGGTGGAAATGACCGATTAGTGTATCAAAAATAAGCGGGGGGGGGGGGTGGAAAATGTTTTAGACACAAATTATTTCCTATGAATGCCAAAAAAATTAAATTATTATGACTGAAATGAGTCGGGTCCGTCGGCATCATTCTTTCCTGGGGGTAAAATAGAACTAAGTTCAAAAACACTTTTCCAATATTTGTCCTTATTTACCCCGAATCTGCAATCATTCTGTTTTACGGTATTTCATTATTTACAAAACTCATGAGACAAGAAACATGTTCGATAATTCATCTGCATCCTTTTTTATTTCAAAGTACATAAGTAAATTCGAACAAATACATCAAGTTTCTAATAAAAAATATTCCCACGGACTTGTTCATTGAATATATATAACCCTCACTTAGGGAAAAAAAACACCCCATTTCAGTTGAATAAAGGCACACATTGGCCTACAAATTGAATATGATGGAACCTTCGCCTAAACGAAAATCTCTTCTCGAGTGGGGTCATTTAGGGTACTGTATTATACTTACAATCCTTCCTTCATATCATGGTAAACCATTTTCTATATCTGTGCAATGATTTGAACATCTTTTCAAAATTCTTAATCTAAATTCAAGAGTTATAATACATTAAAATCCCTCGAAATATCATTTTCTCCAATACTCATGAAGGAACAGATATATTTTTTTCATGCAGCAACGATTTACCAGGTCTATAGGAATCTCAAGTGAACGCATGAAATAACTTTGCAACATCTTGAGTACAAAGCATAATATATACAGAACATATGTATACAAGATATATGACCGATTTGGTTTTACAAAGTTTAAATCAGCAAGTCTTCAACTTCCAAGTATTCAAATGTTTCTGATTGATTCCACAATGTCTTAGATTTAAAGAAATAGGTCGAATTAGACGGTATTTGATGATACACAACGAGACGTGACATGAAGTGGCTGATCTTATACATTCAAGTATGATGGACCATTCAAACAATAGAATTAAAGTATTTGATTTCCGTGTTTGAGAGGCTTTAACAAATGGACAATACGAGGGGTCAGTGACACAAAGACGTTGTCACTGAGCACTTAAGGATTGAAGTCTATGTTTCACTAGCCATTGAGTTTTTGTGTTTCCTGGAAAGCCCACATTTTTCTGAACATTTTGATATCAAATACTCATTTTGGCAAAATATGGAGTTACGTCTTTGTTTCACTGAACCCTGAAGTTAATCAAGCGTTTTTTTTCACAGAATAACCTGAGGGGAAAAAAAGTAATCATTCATTATCGATTCATTTATATCGTTAATGGTAATGGTAAGCTTATTCATTAATTTAAATAGGAGCAAAATGCTGTATGAGCATTAAAGAAACAAAAAACAGAATTGTTGATTCCGCATGATGCACCCATTACTCCTTTGTCACTATGGAGTCATTTATCTGTAATTAAAACATGTTGCATCCCTTATTGTTTTTAAAATGCTAAATACATGTATCTGTGCTTCAAATATACTTAGTTGATATTATTTTACACGTATTAAATGGTTTTAATTTACCCTTTCAGCTGAGGGGTCAATTTTGCCCTAGTAAAAAAGTATTAATAATTTTCAAGGATCAACGTTGGTCTGGCAACCTAACCACAACCCAATTTTGAAAAGATTGCATTTTAGTATTCGCTACCACAGTAAAGAAATGTTTAGTCATCCCTGAAGGAGGTTTCGGACATTCAAGGCAAAGTCCTTTTTGTGGGTATTGGATTCTTAGCCTTCCACTAGGCTCCGAATCAGGGCGATGTGTCAGACATGTCGCACGAATGTCGCAAGACTACCCCTATTCGTCATCGAGTGGACCCGGTTTCCAACTGGTTATGTTAGTGTACTCTGAAGCTATCAGACCATAGTTCTTCCGAAGTCCAGTGGGGGTGTTTCACAAAGATCCTAAGTTGAAATTATCTGTAAGTTTGACTTAAGAATTATGGAGAGCCGTTAGCATCTTTGAAACAAATTTGTAAAAGTTATTTTAAAGGGTACTACAAAAAGTTGATTCAAATAAGTGAGATTTCATGTTCTTGATGTTGCATTTATGAAAAGTCTAAAATACTCACATTTTTGCTTTTGAATATATTTTATTTTAAGACTATAAATAGCTCTCCATAATGTTTAAGTCCAAGAGTTAAGTTAGACTTAGGATCTTTGTGAACCCCCCCCCCCCTTCCCTGAGTTATGGTCGGGCTGTAAGATATGCTGTGACTTTTAGATGTTCTTAACCGGAAACATTAGTGTCGTTGTCCAAGGGATATTCAGAGGGTCTTTGTTCTAAGCGATATATAACCAATACTTTTATTTGGACTTATAAATTACAATCCCATTTCAAGTTTCACAGCCTATCTGAATATTTTGTTGGGAAAAAATATTCGATATTGTCGATCTTGCTTATGTCAAGAAACCCCTTTTTTTCTTTCGATGAAATTAACAAGAATACTTGCGTTATTTACGTTTTTCGTGGACTAAAATTCGAGTTTGCAATTAACATTAGCATGGTGATACAGACTTTGTGAACGTCAAAATAACATGGACAAGTATTTGAATAAAGAACGTTATATAAGAGAAATCCAACCCAAATTGACAATTACTCTAAAAGAAAGCACATAAGTCAGAGAAGCAAAGGTGAAAGTTTCAATTAAATCTGATTGAATATAAGAGAGTTATGATTTTTGGAAAGTTGTAATCATTATACGTATGGGCACTTGGCTAAAGCGGTTGCGTCAATGTGATGTAGTGCGGACTACTTTTCCATCTGTTCCAACATATGAAATGACTAAACAAATTCTAAAATTTATTGCTCAGGAGGGTCTTTTCATTTTAGAGGACCCATAATAATATGATACATGTATCTATCACATATTTTGAGGAGTGTCCCAAGGGAGAAGGAACCTACGAGAAAAACAGAAATTAATGACATCTTTATACAAGGCAAATGGGTGAATTATGCACGTCCTACGTCACAACCCACTGACCAAAATACTAATTTGAAATTCGCATAGACGTAGGGATGTCATATTTCAAACATTCATAACTTCCTTTCTATTGGTCCGATTCATTTCAAACTTTCGCCCTTCTGTTTCTGTTATTTTTCTGCTTTCATACATTATTACAAGGGTTGGATTGCCCTTCAAGAAAAATTAAAATTCATCTACCCCTGAATGATACATCTGGAAGACGGTTGATTACTGTCGACCATTACAAACTCCGAAACGATATCTCATTTTATTATCTCAGATCACTGACCTTTTCCATCATTCTTGGAATCCTGTAACCCTGGACATATAAGTGTTCATCAATTTTGATTGATGTATTTCGTGAAAACTACATTGATAAGGCATGATAAACAAATGAAAAACAACTTTTTAAAGGTCGATAACCAGTCACTTGGCATATTCAATATGAAACAAAATATACATTGTGTTGTGTAAAATAGGTAAAAAACGGAATGTCACACACACAAACCTCCTTTACACAAAATTGCAGCTGTGGTGGTTACAAACCCAAACCGAGAGTGAACATAACCGATGCAATGAAGTGACAGACTTCTGAAACCCAGATAGACCTGTACATAGCTGTATCAAACACGTAACAAGTAATCGTGTCTGATACCGATTAGTAATACTGTTAGAAGTAGGTTTCAAGTATGCCTCTGCGTCGAATATCACTGGTCCAGCAGTGGAAGCCCCCACCCAGTGAGTTGGCGAAGCGAAGGGATACCTTGACGCATTCGATGCCGAGCTTCTCGAACATCTTGATGGTGGGAACTTCGTTGCTGTCAACGACCACGCGCTTGGGATCCAACATGAGGACGTTCATGGACAACCACTTGGATGACATCCACAATGGATGGCCTTCATGAAGGAACAACATGGTAGAGAGTGAGAGAGAGAGAGAGAGAGAGAGAGAGAGAGAGAGAAGAATACGGTATTAGGATTAAGGTTAAAAAAACGGGGGAGGGGTGGTGGAGACACACAGAGATAGATATCGACTTGCAAAAATGACGCAATATATTTATGACTTAATAGATTCACTGGCGAGGTACTGACAGCAAGAAAAAATCAACCTGAATCTCAAGAAGAGACTTGTCAAATGTCTGGGCTGGAGTGAAACGTTGTATGGCTCTGAATCTTGAACAATCATGAGAGCAGGATGATTGGCAGTTTGGAAATGTGGCTGGGGAGAAGAATGGAAGGGAACAGGTTGGTGAGGAAGTTTCACAAATTAAGAAATAATGGATAAAGGGAATGAACAAAGAATCTTGAGAAGAAACAACCTGGAGACAGAAGAAAAATTGGATGTGAAATGTCTTAAGAGGGGTAAATATCTTTAAAGAAATGTACAAGAGAAGGTAGATGGTAAATGTGGAAGAGGTGGAGAGCAGGAATTTGGATGGTATTAGGCTTGATAAGTTACAAATCATGTTGACACAATGAAGAAGAAGGTTAAAGAGAGAGTGGTGGAGAAGCACTGATATTGGTTCCGGTGTGCGGACATGCCCTTGCCCTTGGCAGAACACCTGAAAGAGGGCCTTTAAAATAAAACTTTTAGGTATAAGATATGATATTCTGGAACTACGATTGACATGATTTTATAAGTGATAGTAACAAAACTTTATATAACTTTCTCCTAAAAGGAGTACTTTATCTCACGTTAAAGAATAGTGACGAAAGACTTGGGAGGAAACCGAATTGTGATGGGAGGCGACAAACTCCAGCTGGGGACCGAATAAGGTAACAGAAACATGTTGCCGAGTAATGTTCTACAAGGAACGTGAACTAACAAGTCAGTATCGATATTATAAGGAAGTAACATCGATTAATGAACCAATCTAATCGAACAAAAATGAATGTGAAGCTACGAAAGCACTTACTGTCCGGCATGGCTGGAGCTGGTGGTTTGATGATAGTCCAACCAGCTTTCTTAAAGTGTTCTATCTGATGACACGGTCTATCTGGGTTAGATAGAACTAGACCAGGCCCTATGATGTTGAAGGTAGCATCAATATGCATTGGATTCGGATCATCGAAAGACAGAACATGAAGGCGATAACGATCTCCTAGATGACGTCGCATCCACTCGATGCCAAATTTGTTGGTTACCTGATCAATGACAGCATTAAAAAGTATATGAAAAACAATTATCAACTTCTTTACATGCTTGCCGCAAATCTTACCTATAACAAAAAGAAGAAGAACAACAAAAATCTTTACATGCTGTTACATATTCTGGTAAATTACTGTCGGAAAAAACAAAAGAAATCATAAGATATCATATATTTTGAATATGAACTAATAACTTCATATATTCATCAAATTCTTTATTAGATTTTTCCTTCGTCGCTCTAAAATCCTTTCTTTCATAATTCAGTCAATTTAATCAAATACACATTTTGACGAATAATGATTTTGTTAAAGTCCTACACATGAAACATTCTTTTAAAAACCTGCTTATCATCATCATATTCTGTCACTGATAACATAGCAAGCACAACCCAATCGTGTATATTTGTATATGCAAACCAAAAACTCATACCTTTAAAAAAATGTATTTACCCGTAGATTGCCCAACTGTGTATTCTTGAATATAAGGCATTTAAAAATAAAGCAAAACAATTAAAACATAAAAGAAAAATCCCTCAAAAACGCAAAAAAACAAATAACCAAATCAATAAACTAAAAGACAAACAAACAAAATCAAAACAAAGCATCTCCACCTCACAAAACAAATAAACAATCAATCAATCATTCACCTGGCTTCTCTGGACGAATATATCTTTTCCCGCCCTAATGAAATCAGCTGCATCAAAACAAGGCTCATACTCTGTGGTGATGAATTTGCCTTCTGCTGCCAAATGATGGCGGTCTTCCACAGTATCCATGGGATAATTCTACAAGAAGAAGAAAACACATACATAAGCATGTACCAAACCATTACAAAGAGCATATTTGCCGAGTGAGTTATCAAAAATCATATTTTTGGGGTCTAATACGAGAATGATTATCAGTATATACAAGCTATCTAATTATTGGAAAATGCAAGATTTTGCAAGCTTAGCCGCTTAAAACAGGCTATATCAAGAACTAATTTGTTTCTTCTTTTCAATTGTAACATATTGCAATTACGAAATTGAAAGCTGGACGATGATTTTTTTTCTTCATAGCAAACAGTGCTACTATAATTTTTTTTACAGTATTCATTCTGCCTGTAAAAATTGCTATCCTTCAAACTATTCTAGGTATATGCAAAGATGCTAACTGTCTTTCCGGAAAATGCGAGACCTATTATGTTCAACATGGAAAGGCAATGAACGTGTATATTCTGTAGATCATATAACATATTTCAAAGATAATCACTCTTTTATTAATCATGGACTTTAAAAATGATCTCATGGGTAAAATCTATATCATCAGCCCAGCTTTACAGCTATTTTTTTTTTATATATAGCAATACGGTATTACATTAATACTAGACCGTAGACAAGTAAAGCATTTTCTTAAACATTTGATTTTGCAACAGCGTATACAATCACACAATTTAATACTTTCACTTTAGTATACAAAACTATAAAACATTACATAGTTGTTCACAAATATAATTGTACTGTCGCTCGGCGGAGCTAGGGGCATCCCAAGATCCTCCCTTGGAATTTCGCATTTGACAACGACGTGGAGTACTTGGAGCAGTTCATCACGGATGTCAACCACGTCTTCGTGGTTTCAGCCGGGTTGTCATCCAGGCCATCGACGGACCTCGCGCGGGGCCACCAATCCACGACTACGCTGGGCGTAGCCATCTATACACACAAGGAAGCGATAAGTCTCGCGAAAATTAAATGGTTATACTGCTAAGGTACTATTCAACATTTTTGAGCTACGATGAACTGTCCATTCATATTGATCGGGACATCAAAATACCGAATTAAATTGGGGAAAATTTCACTATTTCTATATAGGTAATCTTTTCTTTTAACACAATTGACAGAAAATGACGGAATAAATGCGTTTAGGAGTAATTAAGATAGCGTTGGCCGCAATTCAATCATTTTCATTTTCACTCGAAAAAGTTAGATAGTACCTTTGTAGGGACGAAAGACAAATATAATCGTTAACTTCAGGAGAATAATCATTCAATCACCTGATATATCACAGTCTGTTTCCTTATGTAGAGATCCATGCTCTACGTAATATTTTGAACACTTATTCCCGAGACAGTGACATTAGAATATATGAAATGTGTATCATTTACATCTGCTGTGTGGGGTCATTTAAGCAGCATACTTTATCTCTACGACTACAGGAAATAATCGGTTTTTGATTATACATGCAAGCCTGTGAGATGCATCTATTTCGATGAACGTGCTCCAAAAGAATCCAGGCCATGTAAAAGTAGATCAGATTAGCATGCCAATCCGAGTGTCTGCTTTGACCTGATATATCACAGTCTGTCTCCTTATGAAGTGATTCATGCGCTACGTAATATTTTGAACACTTATTCCCCGAGACAGTGACATTAGAATATATGAAATGAAATGTGTATCATTTACATCTGTTGTGTGGGGTCATTTAAGCAGCATACTTTATCTCTACGACTACTGGAAATAATCGGTTTTTGATTGTACGTGCAAGCCTGTGAGATGCATCTATTTCAATGAACGTGCTGCAGAAGAATCTAGGCCATGAAAAAGTAGATCAGGTTAGCATGCAGATCTAAGTGTCTGCTTTGACCGCGGAAGTGAATCAACCTATTTAGTTATGTCATTTCATTCGAAAATACTTTCTTCCCGTTTCTCCTTTGTATTCTTCATAATTTTTAGCTTGATTTTTTCTTTCAGGGTTCCAGATGAATTTTGTTACAAATCTATTACCGTGACATGAAACTCTAAAAACAACTTTTTTTTGGGGGGGGGGGGGTCGGGTGTCAGGGCTACACTTTGCGCCAAGGAATTTCCATCAATGCAGTTTCTTTTATTCCCTTTGAAGAAAATAAAAATGAAAAAAAAAAACGCTTTGCCAAGATATGTGTGCTTTTGTCTGATACATATTTTTGTATCTTTAGGCCTATTTGAACTTGCTCTCCCTCTTACAATCTCTCTCATTCTTGATCTCCCCCTCACTCCTCTCTCTCTCTCTCTTTCTCTCTCTAATTGATCCGCCGTTCTTTCAAAAAGAGGCAGGTGGGCTACATTCTTCTTTTAGTTCAACCTCATCTATCTTTGAAATAATGTCTGTTCTTTAGTATAAACTGATACCAAGACTAACAGACTGCAAAAATACAATTTATGAGAGTGAAACCTACATGCTAAAACTCATTGCAAACTATAGAGAAGAAGAAGAAGAAGGAGGAGGAGAAGGAGGAGGAGGAGGAGGAGGAGGAGGAGGAGAAGGAGAAGGAGAAGGAGAAGGAGAAGGAGAAGGAGAAGAAGAAGAAGAAGAAGAAGAAGAAGAAGAAGAAGAAGAAGAAAAAGAAAAAAAAAAGAAGAAAAAAAAAAAGAAAAAAAAAAGAAGAAGAAAAAAAAAAGAAGAAGAAAAAAAAAGGAGAAGAAAAGAAAAGAAAAGAAAAGAAGAAAAGAAGAAAAGAAGAAGAAACAACTTTTCAGGAAAGGAGGAAGCAAGCAACGATGACAATGAAGGCACAAATCAGATTATTTTGAAATGACCTAATTTAGAAAAGAGAAATCATGCTGACAGCTGCTCGGGCCATGCTGTGTACCGTGAGTCAAGATCATAAATCAAAGGAATGCAAGCGCTATGATTGGCATAACACAGTCCATAACGTGATGTCAGTGAAGCAAGGTGCAGAGAAACTCTACACGAGCGAGCGTGTTCCAATTTGTAATACTAGAAGTGAATGATCTATATATAACATCGTATGTTGGGTCAGTGAATGTTACTCGTGTGTATAGGCTACCTTCCATAATGGTAACGACTTTATTTATATCATCAGTAGCTTTGGTAGTGATGTTGCTGTATAATTTTGACCCCCCCCCCCCTGTTTAAATCACCGAAATAATTTGCAATAGGAAATTTAGATTTATTAATCATAAGTCTATGATAATTACAGTTCTGACAAATTACCATAAAGAGGCTCAAAATCAAAATTGGTCTGTACACTACAAGTTTTAAGTCATATATATTATGAAGTCCACCCTTTTTGTGGATGGGAAAGAGGCTGCTCAAGCAATTTTAATTTCGTTGAAAAAGGTTTAATTTGACCCCCCAAAATCACTAATAAAATTAAAATTATTCACTCATGACATAAATATTATATCACTACCATTAAAATAAAAAAAAACTGCATTATCTTTACTTGAACTGTTTCATGAATGTTCGTTTTTGTTATATGAGAAAAACAATTCCCCATGTTTGAATGTCCACTATACTAACAAAGAAATAAAAAGGAAATGACTTACCAATTTTGTTATTATTTCATATATTTGTTACTGCATAAAAGGTACAAGTATACGGTGCTTGTGATCAACAGAATAATCTGAAGGAACATTATTAAAATCTTGTGAAATCATCAGCATGTCATCCAAATATCACCAAGAAATTGAGATTGATTACTATTATGTTTTTGTCAAAGGTATTTGGTGATCTTTTCTCAATATCAACACTCACGTAATTGCCCCCTCCCCCTCCCCACCCTGATGACCTTCATAAAGATATCATTTTTATCATATGTTTCATCATGCAGGCATTAGAGACCCTATCCAAATCACTGAATTAAAGTCAAACAACATTCGTAACATGTTGTAGCCAAAGCGGTATCTGAATTATATGAAATAGCCTTTCTCCTCTCAACGCTTTTCATCACATTTATTAACAATAATTTGTTGTCACATTTTCCATAATTATTATATTTTCTTGTCAAAAACACCTTTCACATGACCATAGTTAAGAGCAAATTGTATAAAAACAGAGACTTCGGTAACTCCAAATCCATGTTTTTAACAATAATAATGAGTACCGATTTCATTCGGCAAAAATAAGGCCAAATTGCATCTTATGCACTTATAGACAATGACCCCGACTGACCGCACAATTACCATTACCCTCAGATTATTTAAGTGGTGCCATGATCCAACATACTCTACACTCTTTACCCATTTAGACAACTTAATTCTTTATCATATTTGTAAAACAAAATAATGTTGTCTAAAGCTTGTTTGATTGTTATACAAGTTGGAAAATCAATAATTACTTCTAAAAAAAAAGGATTAAAAATCGAAAAATAAAATATCTAAATTACATGCAAAATTGAGTCATTACAAAAATCTACACTGGTTCTTGTTAAACCTGAAAACTGTTTTACCATTTTCAAACTATTACACACATGTATATTGAGACACTGTCTGTCGAATGACTCTGAGAAAATACGTATGAGAGTGATTCTGGTATAATTTGTAAATCCACCACGGCCGCCTTTAAAAAAGAAAGAATAATAAAATAACCATCCTAAATAGAAAGCTCCTAGTATTACTCATGTTACGTCATTAAAATGAAATCCTTATCACGTGTAAAGTGTGATGTTAGTCTTTGAGAAATTATTTTCTTTTAATAACTGGATTTTATAAAAGGTGCAAACAAAATCTATTAACTACTTATTTTCTCTCGAAATGAACCTTCCCTATACATGTATCAGGTCGTATTTTGAATGCCTCTGAAGGACATTAGTTTTTACCTTGTATACTCAAAGATTAGTTTTTCTTTCACAACCCATAATCAACAAATTTTAAATGCAGACACAATGTACGGACATTTTGGTATATCGTAAAATAAATTACTGACCTTAATCAGAAAACTTTACATTTTGATTCCTATCAAAGGATTTAAAGTGTCGGATTGCAGCAGTTATAATGCCATAATCAGACAAGTTAACTCTTTGATCTCTATCAAAGGGTTCAAAATCCTTGATAGGATCAGTTGGTGTAAAAATGCAACTCAATAAGAATGTATGAAAGTTGAATGTTTACCTGTTCGTAGAGCTCATCATTCATGAGTGGCTTAGGCGGGGTTGTCCATCGGGCACCTTGTTTAAAATACTCTCTGACCAGGGGTCTGAAAGCACGAAACTCAAAGAAGCGAGATCGCCAGGCCATCGGACATTCAATGATCTCGTCTCCCAGGACGAGGAGGACATCGCGTGGCATCGCTGAGTAAAGACCTAGAGCGACGATGAGAAACGAATACCAAAGTTTCTTTGGTGTCATTTCTTTAACAAATACACACGTACAACTGTGGCGTATCAGACATAGGGTAAAGCTGGAATTTACGCCCTCTTCCCCCGGTTTGAAGGCCCGGAACAACAAACAGACAGACAATCATGTACACACATACATACAAACTTGCAGTAAATGTATACGGCACCATATCAAAACCTGGTTACACTACTGATAACATCAAATCTGGTCTGACTCTGGGCTGGACTCTGGGATCAAAATACAATTTATACGTTTTGAAACACAGCGTTTTAAATGTATTATTGTTATTCCAACTTCAATACATTTCCTTCAATTTTCTTTTCTTTAAGAAAGTTGTTGCAGCATGCACATATCTTTTAAATTCTCAATATTTTATCTAACATATGTATTTGAAGAGTAAAACAGCATGTCTCTGGTAAAAAAAATAAAGCGAAGGAAAAGTGCGAGCGAACGAGATGACAGAGGACAGAAAAAAAACGGAAAAAAAACAACATGGACTTAAACTTTACCACTAGAACGGAAATCGGGGGTGACATATTCTTTCGAAAAATCACAGATTTCGGGACGGCGAACTGTGATGCCCTCGGCCTCTAAAATCCGGACGAATTCTTCAACTTCTTCATGGGCCAACTCGAGATGTTTAGCAGGGAAGGCTTTCCCTCCATTTTTCTCGAAGAAGTCCCAATGATACTGGTACGTATTGGCCTATTGGAATAGTGAAGAAAAAACAACAACAACAAATTAATTCATTTCTTGTCGCGATTATGTATATACATTTACACCCTTTTTCAGCAAATATACCATTTGACAGTACAATACTTTCCGCTCGTATAATAGAATGAAAATGAAATTATACCATTTACGGTCAATACAGGATGACCATGATCACCATTTGAAACAACCCCTTTTTCTAATTAGTAACGATTATCAATAACATTGAAAATAACATGTCTATTTGGGGGATATATGTTGCTGCTTTGATACATTACATTCTAAAAGTGTGCAGTTTCTTTTAACTCTTTAATTGTTATGTAGTTTTGGTAATATTATGTTATTTCATACAGCACGTATTACAAATGAAAGAATGTGTCTATACGCTTCCAAGAGGCTCGTAAAATTATTACTCTGTCTGGAGAGCCAGTCGAGCTGCCATGATAAGTCGCTTAAACACTGAAGAAACTTCTTCGCACAGGTACTCAGTTCCTACATTACACCTGGGTTGAGAGAGGCAAAAATTTGTTGATGTTTTGCCACGCAGGATACTGTTGTTGATGGAATCAAAATTACAAACTATTGGTTCTCTAGTCTAGTATGATTAGTGGCAAATCCAAACAAAAATTGTACTCAATTTTCTGATTTTACCTTGACCTCGGTTGAGAAAGGAGGTACCATAGCGCCTTCGACACGGCCGACGATCACCTCTTCCAAAGGGTCCCATTCGTTATGCGACCATACGGGGCATTGCCGTCTCGCCATGGAATTAACGGCTCTTGTCTCGTGGGCGTAGTTGGAAGACGATTCGATCGACTGTTCCGCTACATCTGCTTCAGCTACACCTGGAGCAGGATGAGCAGAGGATGACATGTGCGAGGACACAGTCAGCTGACGGCCACCACTTGGTGCGAGCCGTTGAAACATCTGTGGATTTTTAAGAAAATATAGCTTTTAGTAGTACATGCACTGTGACTACGGACTTGGTCGGCCATGTCGAAATTCACACTTAACCACTGACTACTTTCGTTATATACTACGTAATTAACTTTTTTTCATTTTATCTTTCAAATAAAATGCATTAAAGACATTGTGTTACAAAAGTTGCGAACTGGTGGCATTAACTTCACATGGCATAGCCTCTATAAACAAGCAAATAAGCAAAAAAGAAAGACTTTATGAAATGAATAGTTTGTTTCCAATATCAGACGAAACGAAAAGTGATTATCTACATAATATTATTATACCTCGATATGGGTATCGAAGGCACGACGTAAGACTTATCTTCTTATGATTACGCAAGGAAACCCAAACTGAAATCAAATTGAGCAGATTATTAATCAAAAAATGTTTAAATAGAATAAAATATCACATGACATAATCAAAGGTGTACCATGATCTTCCCTGGGTAAGCAAACAAATGATTGTGTGGTATTAAAGATGATACTTACCCGCGAAAAGATGCGAACCGCCTCACGTCCTCGGCAGCCGCCACGGAGAGATCTGACACCAAGCATGATCAAGTAGTACTGGTATGAAGGTTACTCTGCCAAACCCTACGTCAAACCTATTTTCCAAGATGCTAGAGACAAGTAAGATAAACGATTATGAGCATATTTTGCTAGTTTTGTAGCAGTAATGGTAGAAAGCAGGAGGGGGTGGGGTGGGGTCCAATGTAAATGCTCTTGTGCGACATTCTCGTATCCTCTTCTGCGTCGCTCCAACGCCAAAGTCGGTAGAGGCATGTTGGGGATTCATACTCCCTCATAATAACTAAAAAATAGAAATACATCGGTGGCAAACGTGTGAAAATCTCTGTTAAAGATAAACTTGAGTTCTGGTCATACGATTGAATTGTGAAAGAAACAGTGTGGAATCGAGAAAAGGTTGATGATCTATAGCATATAAGTACTGGTGTGTACTGCAAGGTTCTGGAATCATCAAAATGATAAGAAATTTGGCCCAGTCTTGTTAAAGTTACAAGCACTGTGCACAGAAATATGTATATGGGACTACACGAACATGTGGCATAAAAATCTGTCCCGATTTTTTATGCTGTTACATGCAATATTTAGAATATTAAGGCATTTGAAGAGCCATGCTTTTCAGGGAACATTTTTAATCTGATGTTTTTCCACACTTGCATAATAATAAGGATAATGCTCACAAATTATTTTTCACCTCTTCCCCAGAACTCAACCTTCTCTTTAAATACACACATAGAGAGAGAGAGAAAGAGAGAGAGAGAGAAAGGCAAACAAGTATCGCATTTGCGCTCGTTGGAGGGGAAGGGGGGGGGGGCTATTATGCTAGCTTGAATTTTGCCTCCGCATATGCCTTCTCATCCCGCGCGCGTTATTTTTTTATGCGGCACAGATTGGGGCTTTTTTTAAAAAGGGGTCTTGATTTACAGACTAATACTGGTCGTGTGCGTACTAGACAGTATAAGTAGTAGAGGTCTGTTTTTAATAGTGTTACATGTAATCCACTACCGCATGGAAAATCATTACATCAACAATTAAAATCAAATTGGAAATCTGAAGAGGAGGCAGCACGTCAATAAGGAGAACATCACAATAATTAGTCAATAAAACTTAACTAACTTAAACGAAGAGGAATGTTATCTAAACACATAGTTCGCGATGGATATACAAACTTCTTCGCAGCGCTAATGCGCTAGCGATTATGACTAGTCTCACGTACGTGCAGACACTATTCAGAAGGGAAAGAACGTACTTCCCATAGGTTTAACACGCGCCATGCCCCAATCTGTGCCGCATAAAAAAATAACGCATCCCGCGCCTGCCACCCCGATCCACCATTCAATATTAAAATCAGGTTTACTGAATGCTATGCAGTTGAGTAGGTTTTTCAACAATGATCTCTTTTAAAATAAAAGGTGTTCCAGGGTCTAGTCAACATATGTACACATTAATCACAACAAAAAGATTTAAGATATAAACAAGATCAAGAAGAGAGAGAGATAGAAAGGGAGAAAGAGAAGGGGAGAGAGAAGGAGAGCAATATTAAAAAACAATGCACTAAATACAAAAAATTATCTTTACGTAATATGATAGCTCGGATGTATCTCCGTTTAATGAATTTGTATGATAAAAAAGAAGACGAAAGACTTGATGCATGGCTGATCGTCAACGAAACGGAGTTAAATCTTTTGTCGACTCTGTTTGTTGCTACGGCAAGCAGCCAGTGAAAATGAATTAGTTTAATCAAATTATGGAAATGCAAGCATTACTTTAAACAAACAGAACTTTTTTTATTTTTTATTCCTGACTCATTTCTCCCGACTAAGGTGTCATATGAAAGGGCAAGAAATGAACTTTCTAGAAATGTGATTTTCCTTTTGAAATTCAGATACCGCCCACCAAATAACTTTTTGGTACCCTCTCTTCAAATTGTTTTTAATAACTCATGCATAAAATATGCATCATATGAGTTGCATCAAAATAAAGAGGAGAATCTCAGCTTTACAAATATCTGTCATTTATTAATTATAATTGTGAATAAGTTATGATAAGACATCGATAATTCTCGGTTTCTTTTTTTTCTGGGACGCACTGTATATGCAACGAAATCCAAGGTTTAATTTACAAAAGTGTTTGACAAAGAAATCTGGCATATCCTGTATTCCTTTCATCATATTATCACCTTGAGTCCTGTACGACACGTCTTTTATTAATTTATTTCATCCAGTGATATTTCTCGATATGACCACTGACTAATCGTTCTTATGGGTGGTTGCATCACGAATATATATATAACCTGTTTCTTGCTATCTGCCACCTTGAGATCACTAAAGCAAAGATATACAATGTAGATTATAACAGGATTAAACCTTCACTACACATGGACTCTGGCTATTCATTGTCACCTATCTTCGCTGCAGTGATGTCAAGGCGGCAGAAACCTAAAAATTGTGTAAATAATCACTTGGCTTGAAAAAGTCATTATTATAACGGCTAATTTAAAGAGTGGCATGTATAAAAGAAAAGAAAGCCGTACCAAATCTTCTTATTGAGATACACGTCAATCCTTTTAAAAAAACCTAAATACTTGAAAAACTTGATGATATCAAGATTCTACAAATGGCACTTCTCATGTTCCCCTTACCTCCATACTTTCCCCACTTTAACTACATAAAAGCGCAATTCAGAGAACCTAACTCATCAAAAATAGCAAATGCGAGAAGTAAAACACGGAGGCATCGTCAGGCCTGTCGGCAGGATTCATAAAATCAGTTCCGAAAAAGCGATCGTAAAAGCCAAATTTGTTCAGAATCTGTGTAAAACACTTCATGCAGTTTAGCGGAGGGCCAACATAAAACAAGAGGGGTTTGCCTGCCAGCGTGACTACTACACAAACTAAGCACAACTTGTATATTCGGAAGATTTTATCATAATACACAATATTTCAAAGGTCTTTTTTAATAATTTGTAGTGAACACCCCTTAATTGGAGGGGGTGTCCAAAAAAAGAGGCTCTTTTGACGAAAAATAGTATTTTGTGAATAATATTTAAGGAAAACCCACCATGAGTTTAGTGTCATATGAAAGATAATTAAATTATCTACATGTTGATACCAATTTAAACGGAATTACGATTAATTAAAATCAAAAATTTAAGTTAAAAAACATGATTTTTGTGATTTTTTTCGAAATATTGAATTTCATCAATTTTTTTCCATGAATCAAAATTCGGCGAGGTGCCTTGTTTGTAACTTTCCAGGAATTTGCCCATGTACAAGGAACATACATGTATCCTGTGCGCCTTTATTTAGTTAAATGTGGTCTTGCATAGATATTACAAGGGGCCTTGTCCTTGGTTGGTTTCTTTCTATTTCTCTTTAACACACCTTTTCAAAAAGAGGGGGGGGGGTTGCGCCTAGACAAGTGAATGCCCTGGGTCCATTTCTAACTCGTGTTTTTAGCCCTTCTTTCTCTAGATAGTCTAAATGTGAATGATTACGTTAAAATTTAAAAGCCTTTAAAAATGGATCTAGACTGTAGACTCTAGATCTACTTCTAGATCTATGTCCCTTTTTCAGCCAACATCATATTCTGTAGAACTTTGCAGGAATTATGAGTAGACCCTAGGTCTAGGCCTAGATCTAGATAGATCTAGACTAGATCTAGGTCTATGTAGATCTATATCTAGACCCCACGGCCCTAGACTGTCCTATCTGTGAAATTTAAACGTTAGCAGCGTCCTAATATTCAAATTTTGAAAGGAAACCCGTTTACTTCACGACTTGCTACAGTGCTAGTCTAGACTCTAGATCTAGACCTCACTGTCAGAGTCTACTCTAGACTAGGCTAGTCTAGTATTCTTTATGTAGCCTAGGCTATGTATTGAGTGACTGACTTGTTTTTTTCTTCTTCCTTGGTAGCCTAGATATCTAGATCTAGGCCTAAAAGTAATAGATCTAGGCCTAGAATCTAGATCTAGAGTCTATCTCTATCTCTATCTCTAGACTCTAGGTCTAGATCTGTTTAACTGGAAAACTGCAAAGTTTAGCTCGATGCTGATGCTAAGTAGATGTCTAACAAAAGTTAGACCTAGATTCTAGGCTAAATTATTAGTCTTTACAATGTTTACACAATTCAGATAATATTTTTAAATATGTTCCGGTCTCTCTCTCTCTCTCTCTCTCTAACAAGTTAGGCCTAGAGTCTAGACCTAGATCTAGAGAAGTCTACTCTTGTATCCTTCCTCCGCTCAGTCGGAGATCGTCGGCACTGGAGTGGGAGTCTGCCGAAGTTACATCCTGACATAGTCTGGATCTAGACCTAAATAGCTTTCTATAATATAGGTTTTGACAGGTCGTGTGAAGGTTGCGTATAAAATAAGGAGTCTAACTTGTTAGATCTAGGCCTAGATCTAGGGCCTAAGTCATGAAGTCGCTGTGATTTGGCACTAGACCTCTAGCCTAGATCTACTGCTGATGTCATGATGTGTCCAGCACGGAGAAAGAGCACCGACTTCAAGAACGTATTGAGCAAACTGCTTTGTGTTGAGGTTATCCTTAATACGATAGGTCTTGACGCACAGATGATAGGGCTGGGCAAGTTGCAACAAGGTGCTCAACATCCTCTCGTTCTGCCCGACACAGACAGCAGCAGTCATCAGTTGCCTTCCCGATCCTGACAAGCCCGACTTGGGTCAGTTCAGTGAGGTAGACTTTCCAGGAGATCTGGGCTTGAATGGTGATAGCTGACCTCAAGCTTGGGTTGGCGATATGCCCAGAATACAGATCCTTGGCCTTAGCTTTAGGTCTTCTGGTCCACAGGGATAAAGAAATCTTTTCAGTGAGGGCAACACATTGTCTGGTCTCAGAAGCTTGCATCACTGCTAACTTTATTAATTATGCGCTTCCATAGGTGGCAGTCGCAGTCTGCTAGAACTAAGCAGTACAGTAGCACTAGCTAGCAGATTACCGATTAACCCTTCCCCCAAACACCGCCAAATTTTTCTTCAGAATTGGGTGTGAAATTATGCAAATGTTAACAAAAGATCGGAAAATGTTGCTGTCTTTTGCGTCCGCTCCTAAATTTGTTCGAAATTACCGACAATGAACTAGGAAACTTCATATTGAGAGAAGATGCCATTTATGATTTAAACTGTAAAAAGAGACACCACAAAAATGACTCTTTCGTCAGTTGCGGCGCCTTTCGAATTTTGAGGTCGCGATATCTCCTAATTTGTTAAAGATAATTTGGCTAGATCTAGTCTACTATTCTCTATTCTAGTTGCACGTATTTCTAAAACTTGCTATAAAATTTGCCTGTCCTCCTGCCACTAGTACTAGTGTCCATTCGGTATTTATTGAACTAGAACTACTTACCGATTTGATGGCTTACCGGTTGGCAAGTAAGATATAAATTTACAGCCAGCTAGAGCAATGTGCAGTAGGTCTATGTACAATGTGAATAGAATACAGCAGCAGTGCAGTCTTGAGCAGTACAGTGCGCGTGCTCTACGTACGTAGCATGACGCGATCATTAGAGACTTTTAGATTGAGTGGACGAGAACACGACGAACGCCGACTGATCATGCGTGTCCACGTACTTAACTGCCCATGTTGACTACAATTAGAAATCTTTTAGATTGCACTCGACGATGCATGCAGGAAGTAACACTATGAAAATCACGGACAAAGAAAGAGGACAAAATATACAGTTCCTCATTCTACCCTCAACAAAAGAACATCCCTTCACTGCTATTAATATGTAAAAATGTGTAGAACAGGTGAATATGCATGTGACACCTGTTCTACACATTTTTACATAGCAGGGAAGGGATGCTCCTTTGTCTACCTGAGGAACTGTATATTTTATGCGCACGCGGCATACTAGTCCCTTGAGCATGTAAAGGCGCTATATGAATATCAATATGTATGTATGTGTATGTACTAGATTTAGGAAAATCAAGGTTGACGCATTCTCGATCGCCGACTGAGACGTCGTAACGCATGCGCTGTGCCTTAAAATGACGTCACACGTTGCAGTCAAAGCTGTTGACGTGCAAATCTAAAAGTCCCTATTGGCGCGACGCCCATAGAAAGTGGAATTGTACCATCTGAATGGACAACATAGGTTAATTCACCCTCTTTATAAGAAGACAGGAAATCCCAATGATCCGAACAACTATAGAGGAATAACATTGCTTAGTTGTCTTGGCAAGCTTCCAAACAGCAGTCTTGAATGAGCAACTTACATCTTATCTCGAAGATAATGAATTGCTAGGTGATGAACAGGCTGGTTTTCGAAACATTTGGTCATTCAACGCTTGATCACATTTTTGTTCTCCATTCAGTGATCGATTTATATCTCTCTTCAAAAGAGAGGGTTTATGGTGCATTTATTGACTACAAGAAGGCATTTGATTTGGTTGACAGGGGGCCGTTTCTCGAAACCAACTCCATGACAGTCATATCTTTGTCGGCGACCTACGGAGATGTCATGAAGCGGATAAACCGTTTCACAAAGCCATGACAGACATGATATCGATATATCGCGATACTAGCAGCTCAAGAACATAGTCTTTGTCACGATCCATTTGATTTATCAAGAATAACCCAAAACAAGTTTTGTGGCTAAAATTGTTCAAAAAGAAATATATTCATATAAATTCTCCTAAAATAAATAATAAATAGTGTCATTATCATATTTACATCATCAAACGATTTGCATATTTCTGTAAAGATTCTTAAATTGAAGAAAAACCGGTGAGTGTTTTTTTTTCGACAGTCGAATCAAAAATTAGTTGAAGGATACCGTAATGTGATAGTTTATCAATACGTACTTTTTTGTTTATTGTGACGAGAAATTTTAGGCAAAATGTCTTTTCTCAGCCAGTTTTTATTCTAGAGTCTCATAAATACTCGTTATATAATTGATTTGATGTTGAAAATATAATTTGGATGAAGTAAATAGAGAGGGGAAAATAATGCACATAGGCCCCAAAGGTATGACGGTATCCTAAGAAAAGACTATGGATCGACTATGGAAAACGGTGTGTAACATTCTTACCTCTCTTATTTATATGTTATAGTTTAATGATTTGGGATTTAATGTTTATATTAAGCTTTTTAAAGTTTCTGTATAATTTGTATTCTCACTTTTGTACATTTGCATTTCGCATCCCAGAGAATTACGTACCGAACTCGTCTATATTTTTCTCAAAATGATAGTGAAACTAATCGTCCATTTCGCGGCCCATGGAATGGCAACAAACTGACTTGTGATGGCGCTTTACAGCAATTAAAAAGATATGACAGGTTCGGAGCAGTGACAACTCGCTTGTCGCGGAAGTTGTCGCTCATCTTGGCAAAGACGGCTTCGTGAAACACTTAGCTGACAAGTTGCATGACAGTGGCGAGATGTCGTTGATCTTGTAGTTATGACGGTTTCGAGAAACGGCCCCCAGGAGTTGACAGAATTACTTAAGAATAATGCTGAGGAAAGTTTTTCAATGTAATTAAGCATATGTATGCTCAGGCTAAGTCATGTGTAATTTCTGGTACAGAAAAGTCTTCTTTATTCATTGTAACATTGGTGTGCGACAAGGAGAAAAATTATCTCCGATGATTTTTGCCCTTTTTTTTAAATGACTTCAAACAATTCATTTGCGAAAAGTTTGGAGGCATAAATATTCTTCCTGACAAGATTGATGCAGCTGCGTATCAAAATGGTATTATAGTATTAATGACTGCTTTGAGAGAAATAGTTGTTTTTATACGCTCAAGAATTGTGCTATTGCCCGAGGCGTGCCGAGGGCAATAGCCCAATTGTAACCTTCCCGAGAGCGTATAAAAACAATTATATACCTCACTTAAGAAATCTAGCCATCTGATTGGTCGAAATTGCATTTATAAACTTTAACTCTTCCCGTAAAATTCCCGGTAAAAATTCCAAACCCATGTAATAGTTCAAAAATCCCAGTAACCATGGTTACTGGGAAAATAGTTCAGTCTTGGTAAAATACCCATAGATTTACATGTTAAAAAATGGTTTGAGCGATTGCGGATACCGTATGTGTGAAGAATTGGTCGCTATATTTTACCAATTTTGTAATACAACTAGCAGCGAATCCGGGCTAACTCGCCCCACGGGACATCTCGCCTCAGCATCATAGACTGGGGCGAGATGTCCCGACACGATTCATCGATCGAGAGATACCAATGTGTATATGTTTGTGCTCATTATACATTTTAGACGAGATGCCTGATGTTTGTTCACATTCTTTCGTCCAGGGGCCGTTTCTCGAAACCAACTCCATGACAGTCATATCTTTGTCGGCGACCTACGGAGATGTCATGAAGTGGATAAACCGTTTCACAAAGCCATGACAGACATGATATCGATATATCGCGATACTAGCAGCTCAAGAACATAGTCTTTGTCACAATTCATTTGATTTATCACGAATAACCCAAAACAAGTTTTGGGGCTAAAATTGTTAAAAAAACATATACATATAAACTCTCCTAAAATAAATAACAAATAGTGTCATTATCAAATGTACATCATCAAACGATTTGCATATTTCTGTAAAGATTCTTAAATTGAAGAAAAACCGGTGAGTGTTTTTTTCTCGGAAATCGAATCAAAAGGTAGTTGAAGGATACCGTAATGTGATAGTTTATCATTACGTACCTTTTTGTTTATTGTGACGAGAAATTTTAGGCAAAATACCTTTTCTCAGCCAGTTTTTATTCTAGAGTCTCATAAATACTCGTTATATAACTGATTTGATATTGAAAATATAATTTGGAAGAAGTAATTAGAGAGGGAATAATAATGCACATAGGCCCCAAAGGTATGACGGTATCCTAAGAAAAGACTATGGATCGACTATGGAAAATGGTCCAAGAACTCATGTTGGCTATATACAACCAACTTTCTAAAGCTGGTTTTCTTGAAGTCAACCAAAAGATCAAAACAACTCGTCTTGCATCACGTGCATAAAATATATAATACTTGGTCTTAGACAATTTTGGTAATGTTTCAAAGTTAATGATCGGATAATCTCCCCTATCTTATTGAAACAAGAGATTCGGTTCAGCTGTTTAAGATTTGATTTGATTTGATTTGATTTATTGGTTTCTGCTTTTTTTTTTTCATACATTTTCATGGACATAATATGGTTTGATACAATATTTTAAAGTGTATATAATTTTATACAGATCATAAACGAAATTAAACATATATATTCAATGCATACAGTGTAAAGGCTACATAAAGTAGGCAAAGTAGCTTGACGTGCCCGCCGCAGCCCTCAACTTAGGTTCAACAATAAAAAAAATAAAATTAAAAAGAGTGACTTGCAGAGAAGAAAGGGAAAGGGGAGAGAAGGAGCGTTGGTTTTCTGTTAATACAATAAATCTAAATCTAATACATCTGCTGATTGAATGCAGGTTCATTCATGGATGGATAAACGATGCTAGGTCATGGACGATTATACATCATTGTTGAATATGCAGGCACTGTACACACGAACATGAATACCGTAGAATTACGCACGACAGGATCAATACTTGGACAATAACATAGTTTTAACCGTGTGAGTCAAAAAGAAGTTTACACCTATAGAAAAATGCTAATTATTTTAAAAATCATCTATGAACAGTAATTCATTATGAAAGAGTGTTTTATCCCAAAAGATTTGGTAACATTTTTGTGTGGTATGTGTTCATGCTTGGATGAACAGGAGGCAATGTTTGCGAGAGTGCAAAAATCGACTTGCGCCAAAGTGATGCCGTATTATGTTGGGATTAGCGGAGTGAGAGAATGAATTGAATGTATCAAATGAAATGCATTGCATATGGTTTTTGCAGGAGCAAAGTCGCACAAAATGTTTGTTAATATTTGATATGTGTGGCATGATTAATTTTGTATGTTATCTGGATCTGAAAAAAACGATTTAGTACCCAAATCCCAATTGTTTTATTTAAACATCACATAAGAAACTTTGGCGCAAGTCGATTTTTGCACTCTCGCAAACAATGCCTCCTGTTCATCCAAGCATGAACCCATACTGCACAAAAATGATACCAAATGATTTGGGATAAAACACTCTTTAATAATAATTTACTGTTCATATATAACCCTATAACCCCCCCCCCCTTTGGTATTTTTATGCGTGTAAACCCCCTCCCCCCCCCCCCCCCCCCCCCCATCACCCCCCTAAACCCCCCTTTGTTTTGTTTTGTTTTGTTTTTTGTTTTTAATTATTATTAAAAAAAAAAAAAAAAATTCCCATGGCTGACCTAAAAAGGTGACCTTACCCCCCCCCCCCCCCCCCGCTTATTCAGCGGCTAGCTGAGTCGTTGCGAAATTTTCGGCCCGATTTAAAAATGTTAAACCCCCCCACCCCCTCCCCCTTGAAAAAATCCTGCGTACGCGCCTGGTCACGTATGTCCTATCTGTGACATTTAAACGTTAGCAGTGTCTTGCAAGGAAACCTGTTTACC